GCTGTCATTTTCAAAAAGTGACACATATGGCCAAAATAGTCACTGAGTGTCAGGAATTTCCTGTGTTTTTGAACAGTGACTGATTTCAGGTGTTCACAATCATAGCAGTGACCTGGATGGGAACAACAGCCTATTTGGGGCTTGTGTTGTCTCAGCTAAATATCTATGCTCTGCATGGGCAAGCTGCCTGAATAAGACAGTCAGTGACAGCTGAGGGATGCTTCATTCTTTCTCATCATTGTGCTAAATCAAGCATTGCAGATCTCTTTTGTGACAAGTCTCCTGATTTGAGAGGTCGTATGATAAATTGTTGGGAATGCAAGGAGACAGGGAGAATACCAAAAACCCTTTTTGACCTTAAATTCCATAACTTAGTAAGTTAAATATTTAGGTCAGGTAAGGTGGGGGAGTAGGGAATATTACCTTCACTGCTCTTACCTGCAGCCAGAGCCTGAACATTTTGGGCACAAGGATGCGTCTTATGTAAGTCCCAGAAGCCATGGGAATTAGGAGCTGTTCATAACTCCAAAGTCTGGTATTAGTCTAAATAAAATGATTTATCATCCTCTGTCAAATTTATTTCCAGGAAGTACTGGCATATATGGGAGTGTGTATACTCATGTACATATATTGTAAGGACTAAGAATTATGGTTATAAAATTATCTCCAAGGTTAGAGAAGACTAATAGACTCCATGATTTAGGGGGTCAGGTGTTTATGAGAACCATATTAAATGTGGTTACCTTAATTAAATTGGGCTTCAGAGTTGTCTGGCTTTGAAGGCAAAGGCTATTTTCTCTACTGCTCTCTTATACTCCCGGGTGCCTATCCCAGTGGGGGCTGTATAGGTGCTTGGTAAATACATGGTGATTGGCTAGTGAAGGAAGAAAAATCCACATTACAGTTGGTTGAGCTGAGATATTGCGCTCACAATCTTTGGGTCCCGGAGTTGAAGAATCTTTCATTTTCTTTCAATTCTAATTTCATACACATAGATGGCATATTTGTTTCACTATCTGGCTTTTATGACAAGGTACTATTTATCTTTGGGGTGTGAATAACAAGGAGATACAATTACCTGGGTCTCACAATTGGAGTAACCACTTAGAAATATCAGAGCAAGTGAAACCAAAGCAGCATGCCAGATTATAAAGCTTCAGTGACTTGGCCAGAGTGTGATCCAGAGGGCAGCCAGAGCCTTAATCATCAGTGAAGCAGCCTTAGCACATCCTCTGTGGGTGGTTTCCTGGAAGTGAGAGAGAATAAAGAAGATAGGCTTGGTGTAGTGGTTCATGCCTGTAATCCTAGCACTTTGGGAGGCTAAGGTGGGAGGATTTTGCTTGAGCCCAAGATTTCAAGACCAGTCTGGGCAACAAGAAAGAACTTGTTTTTACAAAAAAAAAAAAAAAAAATTAAAAATTAGCGAGACATGGTGGCAGGTGCCTGTGGTACCCAGTTACACAGGATCACCTGATCCCAGGAGGTTGATGCTGCAGTGAACTGTGTTCACACAACTGCTTTCCAGCCTTGGTGACAGAGTGAGATCCCGTATCAAAAAAAAAAAAAAAAAAAAAAAAAAAAAAAAAAAAAAAAAAAAGAAAGAAAGAAAAAGAAAAGAGAAGAAGATAATGGCCAACCTAGGCAACTTGAGGACTGTTGGTTCAGGTTACACCGATCTAGCTATGGAGGATTAAAGGGAGAAGGGAAAGACAAAGCTAAAACCTATTGTGTGGAAAAAAAGAAAAGAAAAAAAATCCTGTCCTATGTAGATGGTGGAACAGCTGTCCCTTTGTGAGCTTACAGTAAGAATTACTTTTTCTCTTTTGAGGCAGAGTCTTGCTCTGTTGCCCAGGCGGGAGTGCAGTAGTACAATCTTGGCTCACTGCAACCTCCGCCTCCTGGGTTCAAGTGATTCTCCTGCCTCAGTCTCCTGAGTAGCTGGGACTACAGGAGCATAGCACCACACAAAGCTAATTTTTGTATTTTTAGTAGAGATGAAGTTTCACCATGTTGGTCAGGCTGGCCTCAAACCCCGACCTCAGGTGATTCACCTGCCTCAGCATGCCATCATGCCCAGATGGATTACTTTCCCTTTAAGTATTTAAAGAGAATATTTCCCATGTTTTCCTACTACTGAAATTTATAAAGCACTGAAGGTTGGCAATGGATAGGCCCTCACTCATCACTATCTCAATATGTCATTGTAAAATGATTTAATAAGCAGGACTCTTTCCAGTATAAGTGGCAGAAACCAAATTCAAACTAACAGTGAAAAAGGGAATTTAGGCTTGGTAAGGTGACTCACGCCTGTAATCCCAAGACTTCAGGGGGCTGAGGCAGGTGGATCACTTGAACCCAGGAGTTTGAGAGCAGCCTGGGCAGTCTTTGAGAGCCAGACCCAGTCTTTACAAAGAAAAAAAAATTTTTTTTTTTAATTAGCAGAGTATGGTGGCATGTACCTGTAGTCCCAGCTACTCAGGAGGCTGAGGTGGGAGGGTCACTGGAGCCCAGCAGATGAAGGCTGCAGTGAGCCATGATCATGCCACTGCACACCAGCCTGGGTAACATAACAGAGCAAGACGCTGTTTCAAAAAAAAAAAAAAAAAGAATTTATTCATTCATAACCAAAAAGTCCAAAGAGATATCTGGTTTACATATTGCTAGATGTAGGAGCTTAAGCCAAGTTTTAGTCTTTTCTGTTTCTTCATCTGCTTTCCTTTATGTTAACTTCATTCTCAGGTAGTGCCTTCCCACATAGTTGGAGCAGTTCCAACCCAAGTCCCAGGGCTAACTCTGATTGGCCTGGAGTAGTCGACTCCTGAACCAGTCACTGAGACTGTGGAGCTTCAGCTGGACAGGGAGTCAGCAGCACCCAAACCACCTGGACTGAGGGCAGGAGAAAGTGATCCCCAAATGAAAATCGAAATGCTATTATCAGAAGGGCAATGAATACAATGTGGGAGTTGGAGAGGAAAGATGTCCTCTGTTGGGTAAAAGGAATTCCAAAGATGCAATTTTTTCCCCCCACAAAGCTTGGGGTTTCCATGGAAAAGACATTGGTACCTGAACAGTGAGAAGAGTGATTACTTTTCTCAGTTCTCCCTGTGTATTAGTCCGTTCTCACACTGCTGTAAAGAACTGCCCGAGAGTTGGTAATTTATAAAGGAAAGAAAAATTGGCTCACAGCCCCACATGGCTGGGGAGGCCTCAAGAAACTTGCAATCATGGTGGAAGGGAAAGCAAACATGTCCTTCTTCACATGATGGCAGGAAGGAGAAGTGCCCTGCAAAAGAGAGAAAAGCCCCTTCTAAAACCAGCAGATCTTGTGAGAATGCACTCAGTGTCAGGAGAATAGCATGAGGGCAACCTCTTTCCTGCTTCAATTTCGTCCCAGCAGGTTTGTCCCAGGACACATAGGGATTATGGGAACTACAGTTCAAGATGAGATTTGGGTGGGGACACAGCCAAACCATATCACCCTACCTAAGTTAAAGACAACAGACCCATACACAGTGAAAAGCAAACCCCATGTGGAGGGTTGTATTTTCACATTATATTGACATTCTAACTAGCCCTCAGGGTGGATTATCTCTGCCCTGAACCTCTGTTGATTATTGGTAGTTGAGATTCTGAAGATGTTGCAAAGACAACTGGGCTGTGGCCACCGAGATGTAAATGCAGTAGCTTTTCTATTAAGTACTCTCATATTGAGATGAAAATGCCTCTGACTTGGCCATTTTGAGTGATGGATCTTAAGGCCAGGAACCTTTTTACCAAGAAGTATGGCTAAACCAGCTGCCCCATCTAAGTAAAGGTCTTTGGTAATTTTTCTAGTCCATCTGAGCTGAGCTGGAGCAAATTCTCTTGCCCCCCTAATCTAAATTCTGCAAAGCTTGTGGAGCCACTATTGTATCCCTGGTGCCAGGTGATCAGTATGCAGGCAACTAGAACCCTGCCCCAAGGAGGCAGAGAGAAGGGCAACTTACAGAGGGAGGTGGACCGTGAAAGAGGAGCCCTCTACCATGTCCCAAAGCTCCACCTGTAGCCTCAGTTCACACCCTGACCTGTCACTCCACCCTGTTCTCCTTTATAGCTTCCGGGTTTGTATGGACACACGTAGAGAGACAATAGAGCAAAACCTAACGCACATGGGCTCAGGAGTCTACCTGGGTTTAAACCTAGTCTCCACTCTGTTCCAGCTGTTTGATATTGGGCAAATAATCGAGCTTCTTTGTGCCTCAGTTTCCTTATTGCTAAAGTCTGACTAATAATACTTCACAGAACTGTTCCTTGGTAAGATAGGAACAGGTTGCTGTTCACATAAAGAGGTTGCTGTGCCTGTTCTCTATTCGCCATCTTTGAAGAGTGTTAATTATACTATCATTTGTACTTTGGGCTGTGCTAAACCCCTGTGGGTGGGATCCTGAGCTCAGGAGCCTTCTCTCTAAGCCCTAGACAGACAGACAAATTGCAAAAGGAAAAGGCAAGATCAGCAGCACAGAGTAGAATGGGAGCACAGGAGTGGTCTTCATGAGAATGTTACATGTATAATTTATTCATTCTCTCTTGCAGTAGTAGTTACGGAGTGCCTGTTCTATACCAGTCATTGTATAGAAATTCTGGGCATATGATAATCATCCAGTCAGGCCTCTGGCCAGAAGGAACTCATAGTTTAGTTGGGAGCTAGATGAGTAAACACACAGTTATGGTCCAGTGTGATTAGCGTGAGAGTGGGATCAGCATAAGATCCTATTCTAACTTGGAAGTGTACGTCAGGGGTGGCTTCCTGGAGGAGGTGATGGCTTCCTGGAGGAGGTGATGTTTAAGCCAGATCCCTAAAGGAGCAGAAATTAGGAAGGGTGAGTAAGGACATGAGCATGAAAGGTGTTCCTGGCAGAGGGAATATTCTGTGCAAAGGCCTGCAAGTGACTGAGTGTATAGTGTGTTTCATTGTGTAGTCTTGGCTGTGGAGCAAGCTGAATGTGCTGCTGTCATTGCAGGGACATGGAGAAGGCGGAGCGGCAGGCTGTCCCCCAGGCCAACCACACAGAGTCCTGTCATGAGTGTGGCCGGGTGGGACCCGGACATACGAGAGATTGTCCTCATCGTGGCCATGACGACTTTGTCAACTTCGAGAGGCAAGAGCAGGAGGAAGAGCGGTACCGTTCCCAGAGGGACCCGCTGGAGGGCAAGCGGGACCGGAGCAAGGCCAGGTCTCCATACTCGCCGGCCGAGGAGGATGCCTTGTTTGTGGATTTACCCACTGGCCCAAGAGGCCAGCAGGCACAGCCCCAGCGGGCAGAAAAGAATGGCATGCTGCCTGCCTCATATGGCCTAGGAGAGCAGAACGGGACTAGTGGGTACCAGCGGGCCTTTCCTCCCAGGACCAACCCTGAAAAGCACAGCCAAAGGAAGAGCAACCTGGCCCAGGTGGAGCACTGGGCAAGGGCCCAGAAGGGGGACAGCAGGAGGTAAGTAATCGACCCGGAATTGCGATAATGTAGTGGCAATAGCTGTCATTTAGCCAGCACTTGCTTCATAAGGGCAGCTTTAAACTCTTTACCTCCATTACCTACATAAATCCCCATAACAACCCTGCAAGAAGGGGTGATATTCCTAACTTAGAAACTGGGGCTTGGAGAAGTGAAGGAACCTGCCCAGGGCACACAGATAAGTGGTCAAGCCAGAGTTCAGTCCTGGGTCTGTGAGCCTCCAAGGCCCTCACGCGATTACACCAGAGGCTTTTCTGCTCCTCAGAAAGAATGCCTTGAGACAATCAGCATGTAAATGATAACCAATCTTCTTCCTTTGTGCCGCTACTTCTCTACATCCGAGAAACGTTTATAGAAACGAGAGTAAATACAGATTCATTTTTAATTCCAGGCACATGCAGAAGTGTGTAGGCACTGTTGACATTGGGCTTTATCATACCCATTCCTTCAAGAAGTTTTTAATTATTTAGAAGGTATGCATCTCTTGCTATTTGCCAAGCACTGTCTGTATTTTATTATAATTTCAGATTAATTAGGACACATCTCTGAATGTGAAGAATTCAGGGTCACTAGCTTCCCTGTTGTCCTCAGAAGCCACTGTGCTTTGTCTTCCTTATGAAAGATGTGACAGATTCCCCTCACAATTGTCAGGCTTCTAAACAAATCATGGACAGGAGAGGAGAGAGCAAAGCCAGTGTGCATTCAGAGAGCTCCCCAGGGATTGCAGTGGATGTGCCAGCACCCAGACCGAACCGACCACAGGCCTGATAACATGCTCTAAAAGGCCATACTGCATTCTCCCTGTTGGCCAGGCCCAGATTTTCTACCTGTGGACTCTGGAGGTGGTAGTGCTCCTAGGGGAATAGCCTAGTCCTGTTTTCAAGTATGTGGGTGTGTTGTGCATATGTAGGTTGCTGTAACCTCTTATAATCTGGTCCAGCTGGGCAGTTGTGAGAATGGGTGGTGGATAAATCACAATGGAGCCTTCCTCAGTCACTGATAGGTATTGTTGTGGAGCAGTCTAGAAGAGAAGGCCTACTGTGCTATAGCTAAGATACCTTCCCATTCCTGACTGGGAATGACCAGGTGTCAGTCCTGTTTGTTCACATTTTGTATCTTAAGAAAACAGAAATCTACTGTCTGAAGACACAGGGAAGGGAAGCTGCTCTTCTTAGTGCTGGCCGAGGTAGGCCCCTAGTAGGTGGTTGTAAGATGATCTTACTGCTGAGTGAGGGTGGAAAGTTGGCAGGGGTAATGTCATGTAGGGCCTCATACTCCAAGGTAAGGCATTCGAATTTTATTTGGAAAAGCAATAGGGGAACCACTGGAAGGTTTTAAGCAGTAAGTGATGTGATCTGATGAATATTTCAAAAGATAAGAGCCTAGGAAGGAGGCTATTGTAATAGTCCAGGAGGGTGACAATGGAAGTAGAACAAACTGAAGCAATTTGAGGTACATTTTGGAGGTTGAAATGGTGAAGCTTGTCAGTGAATTTGAATGCAGGATGAGGGAAACTACGATGATGTCTAGACTTTTAAAAACTAAATTTTGTGGGTACATAGCAGATGCATATATTTGTGGGTATATGAGATCTTTTGATACAGGCATGCAATACATAATCACGTCAGGGTACATGGGTGTTCATCACCTTGGGCATTTGTGATTTCTTTGTGTTACAAGCGTTTCAATATTACCCTTTTAGTTATTAGTTTTTAATTAAAATAAAGATAGAATCTCACTATGTTGACCAGGCTGGATTCGAACTCCTGGCCTCAAGCAGTTCTCCCAAAATGCTGAGATTATAGGTGTGACCCACTGCATCTGACCCCATTTAGTTATTCTTAAATGTATCATAAATTTTTGTTGACTATAATCATCCTGTTATGCTATCAAATACTAGCTCTTATTGATTTATCTCACTATATTTTTGTACCCATTAAGCATCCCTACTTCCTCCTGCCCACCACTCTTCCCAGATTCTGGTAACCATCATTCTACTCTCTATTTCCATGAGTTCAATTGTTTTAATTTTTAGCTCCCACAAAGAAGTGAGAGCATGCCAAATTTGTCTTTCTGTGCCTGGCTTATTTCACTTAACGTAATGTCCTCCAGTTCCATCTATGTTGTTGCAAATGACAGAATCGCATTCTTTTTATGGCTGAAAAGTACTCCATTGAGTGTAAGTACCACATTTTGTTTATCCATTCATCTGTTGATGGACACTTAGGTTGCTTCCAAATCTTGGCTATTGTGATTAGAGCTACAATAAACAAATCTATAGAATTTTGACTTGAGCAACTGGATGGTTACTGAGATGGGGAAGGCTAAGGAAGGAGCAAGTTGGGGGAAATCAGGATTTCCATTTTGGATATGTAAGTAGGGAGTTGGAGTTCTGGACATGTGTGGAATTGGAGTTAGCATTCAGGTTTGGTTAATAAGTAGATACTGTGCTGTGCAGCAGATAACAAGCATAGATAAGAGACGTGAGCTTGGTGAGGAATGTGGTACTTTGGAGTGTCCAGGTAGAGAATACCGGGAGGTAATAGGGAATATGGATACAGGCTGTAGAGGGAGTCATTGCCTTAGAGATGGTAACTAATGCCCAGGCAGTAGTTGAGATTATCCAGGGTGGAACGCTTAGATCCATGCTTCTTAATCCTGTCTGCATGATTTCATCATTTCAGACCCAACCCCAGAGATTTTGATTTAGTTGGTCTTGTGTGAGGTCAAGGCATCAGTATGTTTTTAAAGCTCCTTAGGTTGGCCAGGTGCGGTGATTGATGCCTATAATCCCAGCTCTTTGGGAGGCTGAGGTGGTAGGATCGCTTGAGTCCAGAAGTTTGAAACCAACCTGGGCAACATAGCAAGGCACCATCTCTACCAAAAAAATTTTTTTTTTATTTACCTGGATGTGGTGACATGCACCTGTGGTCCCAGCTACTTGCGGGGCTGAGGCGGGATGATCACTTGAGCCCACAAGTTCAAGGCTGCGATGAATTACGATTGTACCATTGCAGTCCAGCCTGGGTGACAGAGCAAGAACCTGTCAAATGAATAAATAAATAAATAATATATATACATACAACTCCCTAGGTGATTCTAGTGCATGCCCACAGTCGAGAACCTGTTGCCAGGCTATGTATTGGAAACACCTGGGGAGTTTTAACATTTGCTGAAGCCTTAGTCCCATGCCCAGAAATCTGACTCCATTGGTCTGGGTTGCAGCCTGGACATAAGGTTTTTAGGAAGCACGTTTCTCCCCGTCTCTCCTCCCCAGTGATCTAATGTGCAGCCAAGACTAAGAATCCTCAACTGAGAGGACACAGTTGCAGAGTGCTGCAACAGAACACTGAGGACCCCCAGCCTAAGGGTCAGGCAAAAGCTACGTCTCCTGAAGGAGATGAGGAAAAGATGGGGGAGGAAAACTAGAGGTTCTGTGGGGTAGTTTCAATTGGAAGGAGTCCAGTCAGCAGTGTGCGATGCTGCAGATAAGCACTTCTACCCGGGTGTGGTACCTTTCTTTCCTTTTTTTTCTCTACCAAAAGCAGATACTTGAGATGTGGTACTTTTTGAGGAGGCCGGGCACCCGTGAAGCAAAGTCCAGAACCTCGCGGATCTTTTGCTCAGTAGCAAAAACTCTTTTTCCACTGAGCTATTTGATGGGCTTAGATGGGCAAACCTGAATTGTCATCCTTAATAGAGCTACAGTGTCAAAGTTAGCTCAGGAGGCAGAATAAAAGGAGGGGTTGAAATCAGTAAGATGGCATGGCCAGTGAGAAACCCTTTGTGGCAAAGACACAGAAAAAACTTTTAAAAGCTGGGTGACTGATATGCAGTGGTAAGTTGTCAGTTATGAAATGTCTCTACATAACTACTCCAGCAGCCTGTAAACCAGGTTATTCTGCTACACGCAATGGCCTGAATTTGGGAGTTGGGGGTGGGGTGTGCATCAAAGACCTAAAGGGTGAGAAGTTAACAGGGAGATGAGAGGTGGGTGGAGAGGGCATTTGACTTTCCCTGGGATACAAGATGGGAATTTGAGCCAATCCTATCTAATGGACAGAGAGACATCAGGTCTGTAGAGGAGAACAGCTCATTGGCTTTGGAGGTCACTGAACACAGAGTGGGAAGAATTTCATTATAGTAGGAGAAGCAGATCTCCATGGGCTAGAAAGTGAATGAAGGTGAAGAATTAAAGGCAGAAGATAGAACAGAAAATGCTGTCAATCTTTAAGTGTACAAAGTGTCTGCTCAGTCTCTGATCATTCTCTTGTATTTTAAAAGGTCTGCCTCTTACAGTCCCCATTTTTTTTTTCTTAAAGATGTATTTGTAATCTCTTACATTAAGTCGTAAATAAATCTGGCTGCTGAATGAAGGAACCTCCTCCATTTTCCATTTGACATATACAAGCTAGATTTCTCTGCTTTGCATATCATCAAGACTGCTAATCTCATTAGACTGAGCACATTAAGACATTGGGAGGAGTGTTATTTGAACTGCAATGTATGATCCTGCATTTTTGGCTTTAGACCAACAGGGAATTATTTCTAATTGGACATACATATTTCACATAATTAAGCTTTTTTAAAATATGGTTTGTGGGAGACAGACTGACATACTCTTAGAATCTTACTAAGAGCTTATTTTGAAATTTTATGCTTTCATTTTCCCGCCCCAACCTCCCAGTGTTTAAAGTAACGCACACTTAGAAAATAGAAAGGTTGGGGTGGGGGATAGAGGTAGGATCAGGAGACTCAAACACTGCAATAAGGAACAGAGTAGAAAATGGAAATCCTGTGTGATTGGTCATGAAGTTAGGGTGAGGAACATCTGCTGCATAAAATATAAGAATTGGTTGTAAAAAATGATACTGCATTTGTACATGACCACTTCTGTACTGGCTGTATCAGAATATCCTGCTTAGTGCCTGTTTAGTGAAGGGTGGCCCTGCGGCCACAGAGCATGGTGTGAGGAGACCTTGAGCCCAGTTTTTGGGGAAGACCAGGGGTTGGGGCCAGCAAATGGATCTGCTGTTAGGGGCGAAGCTGCTCTGGAAGCTCCCACTTGCTCCATGGGGTCTATACCTCAACCACAGTACCACCTCCCGTATCCCTCCTCCACAGTCAGTTTCCTTGGTTTGACCCCTGGAGCCAGGGCTCGCCATTGTACTGGTAACTTGGGGTCACTCCGAAATGGCAGACAATATGTAAATGGAGGATACAGGTTAGAGGGTGATCAGGGATTTGGGGTGCTGCTAGGAGGGCAGTGGAGAGGTGAGGGTAGACTCTGACCTTCCAGGCACTGTAGATAGACAACGGAGTGAGCGGCAGAGCCAGCCTGGAAGGGTGTGTATGGGTGGGAGCACAGCTCTGAAATGCTCTGCATAGTTTGCATTTTGCTTCTGGCAGAATGAACAATGGTTAGTAAAGTCCTGAACTCCCCAGGGGAAGCCTCCAGCCTAATTTCCCACCACCGCTACCACCTCTGTTTTGAGGTTTCAGGCACTGCCCTGTCTCAGAGGCACATTCGTGTCTAACTTTGGGAAATCCATAGCAAACCCTGCCACCTAGTGGCAGGCAGACTAACTTGGCAGGTGTGATGAGGTTGAAGAGATCTTAAAATTATCTCCTGCAATGGCAAAGATAGCTTTATTTGATTGACAACTATTTCAAATTCTCACAATTTACTAAGTGGTTCTTACTATCCCTATTTTATAATAAGGAAAGTGAGACTTAGAGGACTTGGCTGATACTTGCCTGAGGTTATGTAGCTTATCTGTGATTAAATGAGTTGAGTTTTAAAACAATTAGAACAGTTTCTCAAACTTTACAGAACGCTAGAAGCTCCTGGAGGGCTTGTTAAGACACTGATGACTGGGCCCCATCCCCAGTTTCTGATTAGGTGGGTGTGAGGTTCTTACTATCCCATTTTACAACAAGGAAAGTAAGACTTAGAGGACTTGGCTGATACTTGCCTGAGGTCAAGTAGCAAAAGTGTGATTAAGTGAGTTGAGTTTTAAAACAATTAGAACAGTTTCTCAAACTTTACAGAGTGCTAGAATCTCTTGGAGGGCTTGTTAAGACACTGATGACTGGGCCCCATTCCCAGAGTTTCTGATTAGGTAGGCCTGAGATGGGGCTGATAACCAGCATTTTAAAAATATACCTTATTTTAAACTGACAAATAATAATTATATGTATGTGATACATTTTTTTATATATGTAAACATTGTGAAATGATTACATCAAACCAATTGACATATTCATCACCTTACCTACTTATCCTTTTTGGTGGTTAGAACATTTAACATCTACTTTTAGTAATTTTGAAATATAAAATCTCCCTTATTATTAGCCACTTCACTTCCTAACTGAAACTTTGCACCCTTTGACTAACAGCTCTTCTTCCTTCTCTCCTCCTCTCCTTCCCAAACCTCTGGTAACCACTTCTCTACTCTGTTTCTATGAGTTTGACCTTTGTAGGTCCCATGTGTAAGTGAGGTCATACACCATGTTTGTCTTTCCATGCCTGGGTTAGTTCACTAACCTGTATTGTTGACAAGTTCCCAAGTGATGCTGATGCTGCTGGCACACAGGTTACACTTTGAGTAGTGTTGGCCTGGAACAATGTCAGCACCAAATAAATGTCTGTTAGATAAAATTGATGGGTAAAAGCAGAGTCAAAATTGAACTCAGCCCTGTCTAACTCTAAAACTTGTTCACTTTTTACAACATCATGCTGCCTCTCAGGCTTAGTAAAACTCCATACTTTGTCCCCTGCTGAATTTTGTTTCCTTCTTAGAAAATAAGATGGTTAGGAGTGGTGACTCACACCTGTAATCCTAGCACTTTGGGAGGCTGCTGAGGGCAGATCACTTGAGGCCAGGAGTTCAAGACCAGCATGAACAACATGGTGTTTAATAGACAGCCTGGCCATCTCTATTAAAAATACAAAAATTAGCCAGGTGTGGTGGTGCACACCTGTAGTTCCAGCAACTTGGGAGGCTGAGACAGGAGAATTACTTGAACCTGGGAGGTAGAGGTTGCAGCAAGCCAAGATTGCAGCACTGCACTCCTGCCTGGGCAAAAGAACAGAGGACGGCAGGGCACAGTGGCTCACGCCTATAATCCCAGCACTTTGGGGGCCTAAGGCGGGCTGATCATGAGGTCAGGAGATTGAGACCATCCTGGCTGACACAGTGAAACTCCATCTCTACTAAAGATCAAAAAATTAGCTGACCACGGTGGTGCACGCCTGTAGTCCCAGCTACTCAGGAGGCCGAGGCAGGGGAATCCCTTGAACCCAGGAGGCGGAAATTGTACTGAGCTGAGACTGCGCCACTGCACTAGTCAACAGAGCAAGACTCTGTTTCAAAAAAAAAAAGAAAAAGAAGATGGCTAGTTGGTGGTTGTTTTTGAAATTACATCCAGTTTTGTGTGCTGGAGTGTTTATTGAAGGGCTGATTATGCGTCAGGACTTTCTTAGACTGTGGACAATACCATAGTGTGAAACACAGTTCCTGTCTTTCAAGAATTTTCACCTTGGCCTGGGAAGAGATGTCTTGCAAGTTTGAAAAGATCACCTCAATACAGGACCTTGGAAAAGTTACAGGCAGTGTGATAACTAGGTCAAGCAGAGATGGATCACTGAGGGCTGTGGCACTGCAGAAGGTTCATGTGGGGAAGGCATGGGCTGGCATCCTGGAGAATGAGTAAGATTTCGGTAAATGGAGCAAGGGGAGACCATCCAGGTAGGGGAAGGAAAGAACAGTGTTATAAGAATAAAGGGGGCAGCAAGGACACACATGTTAGTGAAGGAACTTCTATGTATCAGACATGGAGGTTGCATTTCCTAACCTGTCTCACTGATTCCTCAGAACAGCCTTATGAGGCAGGTAATACTGTCCTCATGTTACAAATAAGGAAATGGAAGTTCAGAGCAGTCAGGTAAGCTGCCTATGGTCACAAAGCCAGCAAGTGTAAAGCTCCGATTCAAACCCAGGTTAGGCTCCTACCTTTCCTTTTTCCACTGCAAGATGTGGCTCAGGTGTGGAGGAGGCTGGGCCAGGACTAGGGTGAGGCTAACCGTCAGGCACCAGCAGGTGTAGGGGTGCCCCTGAGATGGAGTTCTCCTTCAGTTTTGGGGCCTCAGCGTGACCCTGGTAGGGAGAGCAGTGAGAAAAGCAGGTTGAGGTTAGCTGCTAGCAAGCTGTGAGTACCAGGATGAGGAGTTTAGACTTTATTTCACAAGTGACAAGGAGCCATGAAGTTTTTGGAGCAAGGAACTGATTTGATCAGAGCACTTACCGTGGACAAAGTGGAAACTCATTAGGAGCATCTCAAAGTTGTCTGGAGGGAGATAATTAATCAGAATCTGGACTAGAAGAGTCCAGAAAAAAGAAAGAACTGATGCCAGCCGCTTCCTTTATGAACCTTCAGAATTTGGTGCTAGGATACCAGGCAGAGGGACAGTCTTGGTAGCCTGGAGAATTGTGAGGCCTTTCCTATAAATATGCACAGGTGTTGAAAGAGCTGACTGCTGGCAGCGGAGAGAGAAGGAAAAGCCAGACTTAATTACATTGCACTCCAAGTGGTGGGCACGGGGTAGCCAAGTTGTCCTGGCAGAGGAAGTTGACAGAGAAAAATGGTTTTGGAGTCTTCTGCAAAAAGGGGAAGTGACTGAAGTCCTGGATGCTGGCCTTGATCATTCTTTTGGGGTTCTTAATAGGACTCTTCCACATGCCCAGCTTTGTGGGTTTACTTAGCTATGTTCCCCAAAGCCTGGCAGACCCCTTGCTTGGTTGCCTGACCCGTCCTTACCCTTTCTCCTTAGCCTTCCCTTGGACCAGACGCTTCCTCGCCAGGGTCCTGGCCAATCCCTGTCCTTCCCAGAAAACTACCAGACTCTTCCCAGGAGCACCCGACACCCATCAGGGAGCTCCTCACCACCTCCCCGAAACCTGCCAAGTGACTACAAGTATGCGCAGGACCGAGCCAGCCACCTGAAGATGTCGAGTGAAGAGCGCCGGGCACACCGGGATGGCACCGTGTGGCAGCTCTATGAGTGGCAGCAGCGCCAGCAATTCCGGCATGGCAGCCCCACGGCACCCATCTGCCTCGGCTCCCCAGAGTTCACCGACCAGGGCCGAAGCAGGAGCATGCTAGAGGTGCCCCGCTCCATCTCTGTGCCTCCATCTCCCTCAGACATCCCTCCCCCGGGACCCCCGAGGGTCTTCCCACCCCGGCGGCCACACACGCCAGCAGAGAGGGTCACGGTGAAGCCACCAGACCAGAGGAGGAGTGTGGACATCTCACTGGGGGATTCTCCCAGGAAGGCACGGGGCCACACTGTCAAGGTGAGACTCGGGAAGCTCTGCCAGGCTGCTGGTTCAGCGTGAGGGTGCCAGGAGCCTTGCCTGGTTTGAACACAAATTTGAATAATTTGGGATAATGATAGCTAACACTTAGGCCATACTTTTTAATAATAGATGCCAGGTGCAGTTCCCAAAGGCTTCATTTTAAATTCTCACCACAATCCTGCGAGGTAGTTGCTATGCTTATGCCCATTTTAAAGATGAGAAGTCTGAGGCATTGAGAGACAGGGTAACTTCCTCGGGGTCATACAACTACAGGTCAGCTTCCTTGCAGCTGGGAAGGCAGGAAAAGACATCTGTGTTCAGTCAGTTCAATAATTTATAACAACCCAGCTTAAGTTTACACATTCCAAGGGGCATTCACAGTTTAGTGTTCTAACCCAGAGAGTAAGATGTGTATGCTCATTTCACAGATGAGGAGTTGGGGGCTCAGAGGGGAAGTGGCATGGGGCGGGTTGCCCTGGGAGTGAGTGGCAGAGGTTTGGACTCCAGTGTGACTTCTTGTCTCCCCACTTGCAGAACTCATCTCATGTGGACCGACGTTCCATGCCCTCCATGGGTTACATGACCCACACTGTCAGTGCTCCCAGTTTACATGGAAAATCGGTAAGGTGGATGACAAGACACAGCCTGCAAAGCTGTATCTCATCAATGTTTTCCTTTCTCTGAGTCAGTACAATGCAGTCCAGAGGGCAGTTATCAACCTCCATCTCAGAGATGAGGAAACTGAGGCTCAGAGAAGTCAAATGACTTGCTTAGGGTCACCTGGCTGTCACTGGGTCCTCCCCAGAGGTGGGAAGAGCTTGTGGGGGAAGTATAGGGGAATGTTAGGCTTATCTCCTCTTTCGAGTTGAATTTTGCCAGAAACATTTTCCAGCTACTCACCTTTTTTCCCCCACAGGTAGTGCCTCTCCTTTCTTCCCTGATCTTTGATCAGTTAACTAGTTAACTCTGTCTTCTAAGCTCGAGTCTAAGACCAGGCATGGTGGTTCATATCTGTAATCCTAGCACTTTGGGAGGCCAAGGTGCGTGGATCACTTGAGGCCTGGAGTTCGAGACCAGCCTGGCCAACATGCCAAAACCCAGCCTCTACTAAAATACAAAAATTAGCTGAGCATGGTGGTATACACCTGTGATCCTAGTTATTTGAGAGACTGAGACACAAGAACCTAGGAGGCGGAGGTTGCAGTGAGCCAAGATCACACTGCGGCACTCCAGCCTGGGCAACACAGCAAGACTATCTCAAGGAAGAAGCGGAAGAAGAAAAAACAGCTTGAGTCTGGGTGAGGTTTGAGGTTGCACTGTTGGTTGTCGCTTTCCTGAAAAATCAACTTCCTGCAGCCCCTTTGCTGCCAGTCCCTTTATTCATCCCAATGACAGGATTAAAGATGAGAACTCTGAGGCATTGAGAGACAGTAATTGCTTAATGGAGTTACATCAGTGCTGTCCTGGCATTGGCACTGGGGTGAAGAGCATAATTCTAGTGGCGTGCTCCTGTGGTGCTGACTTGCTTGTGCTGTGTCTACACACCTGCAGCTGGAGGAGCTCTCGTTCCTTCTCACCCGGTTAAGGCGGCACCAGGCCAAGTTGGCCAGTGTGCGAAATTTCGCCATCGGCCAGTTACTGCAGCACCAGCTGACCTTTCCTACCTGCCAGGTCAGCGCTGGTGGGCTCTCTCAGGGCTGGGGGCAGGGAGTGACATGCTGGCTCGTGTTCGCTCGTGCCCTTGCTCTGGTCTGTCTCTGCTGTCTGGCTCTTCCTTGTTCGCTGGCTGTTTGCTTCTGGATGCTACTGCCAGACACTGTATGTTGGTGGAGGCCAAGCCTACCCTCTAGTGCTGGGGAGGGGGTTGCTGCATGTGGCGTAGGGACCTAAACTGTCGCTTCTCTGGTATAAGTAGTGACTGCCAGACTGATGTGTGGTCAAGTTCAAAGGGCTGTGCTGGCTGACAGCCTTGTTGCCCCATGGCTACTCCTTGGGATGTGGAAAGGCATGTGTGCATCAGCCTGGAGGGAGGATGCAGGGCACCCTCTCTTATGTGGACAGTGCCCTGCTGCCTCACAGAGCATCTTCTCATCTCATATCCTGCTGAGTCTCACAGTAAGCTGGAAGAGGTTAGGGAGGACAGGAGTCAGGACTACACACAGGCAAGAGGAACCAGAAGGGGAAGTGACTTGCTCAGGATCCCTCAGCAAGGAGCATGCAGGCTGCAGCCAAAATCCAAGCCTGCAAGACACAATGTTCTAAACTGTTGCAAGGACATTGGGCTTTGCAGGCAAGCTTCTCAAGGACTGGCTAGGGGGTTGCCCTCCCCAGTATCTTAAGCAGGAGGACTGAAGAAGAGGATTCCTCCCTGGGGTTGTCCTCAGGCAGGAAAAAGTTCGGTCATATGAGGCTGGTCCTCCAGGCTGTACAGAAGTAGGCAAAGGACAGATAAGGAGGGTGGCAGGACTGTTACCTTCCTTCCTTGTTCTGTTTTAGTGAGTTATGAGGGATTTAGGAAATATATTCAGAAAAATGAACGTCAGTACAAACACTATTAGTTGTGAATCTAAGTGATCTTTAATAACCTTCTTCTGTTCTGCCCTTATTCCTATGGCAAGTGTGTAGGGACTGAGCTGTTTGGGAAGTATGGATGGGTAAGGGGTTAGTATGGGCACATAAATAAGACCTTGTAAGTCACTAGTGCCCCTGACAGTTGTCCTTCCAGCATTCCCATGCGTAAGAGCACTGCGTGAACTCTTTGTGTGGTTCATCTGTGTGACTGTCTTACCTCAGAGCTATAAGCAAGGGCCACCTGCCCTGACTTGCCTGGCTGGGACCCTCTTAGTCTGCTGAGAAGCTGGTGCCTGGATTATTTTTCTTGAGCTTTCACAACTCCTCTGCCTCACAGTTAGGTTCTGTGATCTGCTACACAGGAAGGCATGAGTTTTAGGAAATCAAAGAGTCTTTTTTCTTTTTTTTTCACCGTTTCTGGCAATTATACTGAAGAACTTGACAGATAGGTCTGATCTTGTACCTGCCTCAAGTAGCTCCTGACATGGCCACATTGGCTCCATGCTGAGCAAAAAGGACCAAAACTAGCAGGAAACTTCCTGCAGCTGCTGGTGGTTATCATTCTGGAAACCAAGGTTATATTGGGACCTCCTGGGTCACCCAGGTCATCTCCCTGCCTCTTCCAGGCATTCATTCACACCATTGAGCATCATCTTACTTCATGCATGTGAAGTGACCCAGACCAATGGTTAGATGGATGGAATTAGAGCACTGATGACTGGTGCATTCTAGCACAGGTGTGGCATGTACTCCTCCAGGTAGACCTCCCACGTCTATCTTAGGAGCACAGCACTGCCTCAGCTGCCCTAGCCCTGGAGTAGGATCCTCCCTGCCAAATTCTTCCCCGAGCCAGTGGGAGACTAGCTGAAAATCCGCCATGATCCAGTGATGCACCCACAAGTTTCGCCATACTGAAAGAGGGCTCTCAGCTGCACTGAGACATTTGTGCTTCCTCTGTAGCCCCTGATGTGTTGGTCCGCTGTGGTTCCTTGTTCCCAAAGCTGCACAATGTAAATTAATTCACATGCGAAACCTTGCGTTATGGAAACTCTTGGTGTTCGTAATTGTTTTCTTTTTCCCCTCTTTACTTCATTTGAAGGCTGATGATACCTACCTCCAGCTGAAGAAAGACCTGGAGTACCTGGATCTAAAGGTGAGTGATGTCAGAGGTCCTGCCTTCCTCACATACTCGCCTTTCTGAGAGTGTCACCTCACTGGAGCCAAGCCCAAAGACAAAGGACACATGGGTCTTATCCAATCTGAATTCTAAATCAAGACGTCTCCCGTCTTGAATCAGAAGAATTTTATTTCTTACAGGCTCAAATCTGCCTCTCTTCAGTTTCTTATGAATTTTGTTGTGAGGTCCCTGGCTTATAGAATGTGAGTGTAAGACCTTGATCTCTTCCTTCCCTTGGTCAAAACCAAAAGATCTCTGCAAAAGCAACAGTCGCTGCTTCAGAGTCTCCAGTGGGGGCAGGGGTGTGTGTTTGGTTCACTAATGTACATTTTCAGCCACAAGTGGTGTGGTGGGTTCTTTGGTTCTGTTGCTAGGAGAGCAGGCTTCACGTGGAATCACATGGCTTTAAGGCTCACTGGTAGTCTCCCATCTCGATTTAGGAGATGAAGGCTGGGCCCCTCCCTGTAGTTGATAAGGCTTCAGGCTCTAAATTTGCTTTCCCAGCACAGAGAGAGCCAAGAAAGCTCCTGTAGAGAAGGCAAGAGGCATTCTGCCTAGAAGAGAGCGCTATTGTTCCCTTCCCACAGCTATCTGAAAGCTCCCACTGTGAAAAGCACTTCTTACGCCTGAGCCATGAAATAGACTGGAGGAATGTGACCTTTAGTCAGCTGTGGGTCTGAAAAGGTGGGCGAGGGGCCATGGGACACTCAGGCAACTGCCACGGAGTGGGGGCAGCGTGTCTCCCCACAGTCCCCAGTGTACCTGGCTTGGTATATTTTTAACTTGGGGATCTTCATCCAGCCTCATAGAAGCTGCTGTATGAACATCAGGTCCTAAGGAAGCAGATGGAAAGGGGGTCTCCTCACAATGAGGGAAGATCAAGGCCTTTGATTAGAAATCAACCAGTGCAGTTCTGGTCTGTCGATCACTTGCTGTGTACCCAGAAGACATGGGGAGATGCAGAAGAAAAATTGAGTCTGTCTGGTCTTGAGAAACTTCTGGATAGTCTGGGTTAGTGAAAGAAATCATCCCCAAATAACAGACTGCTCCACAATGACTGTACAAAAATCTGTTAGGCCTGGTTCTCAGAGCTGAGATGGTGAGAATCACTATGGATTCCAACACTGGGGAGGCTCCTAGGAGGAGGTGGCATGTGTTTGGAGCCTTGAAAAGCCAGCGTGCTGGGGTTGGTTGAGATTAAAAAGGGAAGGAACAGTAAGAGCCAAGGAGAGCCAGGGCATGGTGGTCGTGGCCAGGGCAGCAGAGGGGAGGTGGTAGCCGGTCATGTAGGCCTTTGACTCTATCCTAGGCATTAGGAAGGAAGGTGGGTGCTGTGAGCAAAAAGACCTGGCTTTAGCATGTGAGGAGAACAAGGAGCTTTCTCTCAAGGCCAGGAGGTTTTCCAACTCACATGACAGGTCACACAGAACTGCAGTGACTGCTCTAAGTGTGGTAGTAATTCCTCCGGATTCAAAATGCTCAAGCATGGCTGTGTGGACCAAACGTGGCAGCCTGCGGGGTCAGGCAGGGTCCTTCCTACCATGCCTGTGGAGAGAGATCCGCCTGTCCCCAGCCTCCACCTGCCCTGCGCAGCACCGCATCCCGGTTCATCAGCCTTCCTGACAGTCAGCAGCTGCCTGCACAGTTCTTCTCACTCCTGACCCAGGGCCCAAAGGTCCACTCAGACATACCTCTACAGCGTCCGTAGTGCACCTGGGCTTGTGGGAGAGGCTTGGCGCGCCAGCAGCACAGGTGACTATAAAACACAGGTATGCCAGAGTGTTGAGTGTATGGGACCAGAGAGAACTAGATGCGCCTGAGCAAGAGCAGTAGGAAATAGCTGCCTTCTGGTTCCTCTTTGTATGTGATCGTGGAAACTCACAGTTGATCCTGGAGTGATGCTCTGCCTCAGGTTTGTTTTATTTCAGGATCGTAGAATTTGAGCTATGAGGGATTAAAGAGGGAGAAACTGAGCCACAGAATGGCACAGCAGAACTAGGAGTCCCTGCATGTCCTGATTCAAAAAGAAGCTTAATAACAATAGGTGGTATAATGTGTGCCAGTCACTGCATTTTACTTCTATTAAAGTATTTTACCTCCAAAGACGGTGGTATCATCTATTAATGGACTGTGACTCAGAAAGGCTAACGAGTTTCCCAGTCCTACACTGCAGTTAGTGGGTATCAATATTTGGGTGTGGCTCTAACCCTAAAGCCGTTCATCACCTTGCCCCACATCCTCTCTTAAAATGGTGCTTCACCACTGTGGACCCAAAGGCATTATGTTTTTATGGAGCTGAGCTTGGATTGTTATGCCAAGAAATATATTTGATGGGATACAGAGAGGCAAATTGCAGTCTTGCTGTGTTCTACTGCCTAATAGCTGTACCTGATCAGAACATTATCTTGCTATTGGACTTTCTGGAGGTTGTCATTGTTTGTCATGGAAAACAACTGTGTTGATACCCATATTCCCCTGGTCTTGTAGCTGCTTCCACAGTTGCTAAGCTCCTCTCTCAGAGCCAGTCCCCCAGCTGAGCTGCATCAGCACCCTGGAGAGGTTTGGCTCACCAGCAACACATGCGAGAAGGATGCTGGGTTTTGTGCCCAATGTGTGTCATCGGTCTGACGTGGCTGCCAGAAAGGCTGGCATCCCCCCACCCCCGCCGCCCCTGGTTTCCCTCAGAGGGGCAGGGGCCCAGATCAGGAGGCAATAGGCCTGCTCTGCCCTGCTCAGACCCAGCTTGGGTTTAGGGTTCCAAGATGAGGGTCCCCCCAGATGAAGGAAGGGCTGGGATCAAGGGAGAGGTATTGAGGGCTTGCAAAACCATGGCTGGGTGTGCTCAGCGGGATGCTTTTGTTTGGAAGTATCCAAGAGCCAAAGCCACCTGCTAAGTCAAAAAGGGAATATACTAATTCATGTAGCAGGGGCCACATTCCAGGGGATTGGCTACATTGTCACTGTTCTACTTTCCTTGCGTGTCAGCCTTCTTCTTTCCTGTGGAACAAGGGGTTGCCTCCACATGGGCAGAGAAGGTGGCTGCCTGCAAGCCCAGATTCACTTCTTCCCTACTCAGTATTCCATGGAGTGAGGGAGGAGTTTCCTAATGGAACATGCTGGGCAGAGAAAGGAAGCACAACAGCAGCTGGTACAGCTACAGTGCAGAACGACTGAAGGAGTTAGGGGCGATTCAGGAGAGGCATAGAGACAGCCTATAAAACTCTGCTGTGTCTTCACGTGTTTTCTGCGGCCTTAAGGAGGAATTAAGACATGTGGATGGTAGCTACAAATAGACAGGTTTCAGTTTAGTAGAAGAAAGACTTTTCTAAAAGGGCCACCTCAGGTGGTGGTGAACTTCCTGTCACTGGGGTACAGCTGAGGCTCAATGAAGCTGAGTAGGATGGATGGTTGGATTAGGAAAACCCCAAAGCTCATTGGTCCTTAGATACTATGACACGCTGGACAAAATGTCCCACAGTCAAGGGTCTCTGGTTGAATAGGCCTGTAGACCACTCTGGGCATGGAAATCGAGATAAACACAGCCCCTCTGGGACCAGCTGCTTATGAGGGATCCCCTCTGGCTCCTTGGAGAGGGGTGAGGTAGAGAGATAAGCCTCTCTGGAGAGGAGTCTCCCTGCCTGGCATCTGATCTGTGACCTCTCCCTTCCCCAAGCCATGTTGACTTAGGGTCCCCCATGTCCCTGTCCAAGAGGCCAAAGACTTAGAAATCCAGAACCCATCTTCCCCTGCCCCCCCATCAGCTGATGCTCAGCTTCCAGAATCAGTCGGGGTGCTTGTCTGCCGGCATTGTGAAGCTTTCCCTTCCTGAAGTGAGCATTTCTGCTGGGCTGCCAAGTGGTCAAACAACAGCACACTGTGCTTTTGGAAGATGCTTACATCAGTGTGCTTTTTTGGAAACATTTACTTTGCTGGTATTTTACTTGATGGTGCCAGGGTGAAAAGGACTCTATATTGATTAAGCATCTGTTCCTGCCTGGCAGTTTTTGGGCAGTTGATGTTCATTTATCTCATTTAATCCTCTCAGCAACCTTGAGCTACATGAATTGTTATCCATATTTTATCACCAGGAACCCAGGTGTCAGAGACATTAAGTAACTTCTATAAAGTTACACTACTGGGACTTGAACCCAGCGACTGGCTTCATACCTGCCTTCTTTCTTCTGTGCATCTCATGCTTTGCCCACTGTAAAGTCATGTTTGTTGAATTGTATTCCTGGCATTGCAGTTCCGCTCTTCAGAACCCTATACCTTAGCTGGGTCAGAAGGGTGGGGTGTGGGGTTCACTGTTGTTGACAATATAAGTTGTCTTTATGCTGCTATGAAGCACAGCCAGGAAGGTGAGGGTACCTGCTGCCACTCACGTGAAGCCTTTGTAGATAGAAATGGTTGCAGTCAGCCCCAAAAAGGCTTTTGTCTTCTGTGAGGGATGGGCCATCAGTGGCTCCAAGGCTGTTGGACTCTGGACTCTTCCTGACTGTTTGAATCTGAGATCAGGACTTTTCTGTTCTGGATCTGTTTCCAAAATTGGCTTCTGGGACAGTTTTTAAAGTTGTGATTGGGTATGCCACATACTTCAGAATCAACTGGGGGCTTGATAAAAACACAGATCTGGAGGGTTCTATCACATTAGATACCCTGCTGCTCAGAATTCTGCATGTTTTTCAAGCTCTAGACTGATTATTGTGTGCATTAGGGTTTGAGGTCTATTGTTCTGAAGAAGAAATTATTAACCTTGGCTATGAATGAGAACTATTGGGAAACTTTAAAAATGAATATAAAGGTCTTGGTCCTACCGTTTAGAGACTGTGATTTAATTGGTAATACTCTTAAAAAAAAAAAAAAAAAAAAAAAAAAACGCTCCTTAGAAACACCTAATGCACATCCAAGGTCAAGGTTAAGAAACATTATTTTGAAGTAGTGGCTTTCAAAATGTGATCCTCAGACTGAAAGTGTCAATAATACCTGGACATTCATTAGAAATGCAAAATCTTGGGTTCCACCTCAGATCTGCACCACGAGAAACCTCCAGGGATAGGGCCCAGCCAATCTGTATTTGCCTTCCAGCTGATCCTGATGCATGCTAAAGTTAGAGAACCCCTGTTTTAGGGCAGTGATTCTCAATCCTGGCTGCACATTGGAATCACCCAGGAGAGTGTTTAAGAATCCCAGTGTCCAGGGCCCATCCCAGACCAATTATTTCAGAATCTCTTGGGGCAGGACTCAGGCATTGGTGTTTTTAAAGCTCTCTCAGTGATTCCAGTGTTCTAGATAAGGAGAACAGTGTTCCCAAAAAGGAGCTGTAGGCATTTGGGACCATGGGTAAGACATAAGTGTGTAGATGCATCACAGTTATGGTGGAACTTAGGGTTGGGTGGGGGTGAGAGGAATGCATGGCACTATTCTAAACTAGTATCTTACAGAATGTGATGGGGGAGGACAAAGGAAGAAGCAAGTTCCCTTCTATGATGTTCCTCCTTGCCTTCTGCAGCAGAACCAGGAAGGAAATGAATACTGAAATTGGCACTCCCACATAAACCAGCCTGTGCACAGGTCCCTTCAGACAGCATATAACTTATAAAAAGGAGAGACCTGCAGTCTAGGAAGACCCTGTGGCCCATGGGAATAACATCCACAGGCCCATGGAAGTAGCATCACCAAGATTCAGACCTGGTTGTTTGAATTGCACAGCACACAGCCTCCCTAAAGTTTTCCCTTTGCCAGTTCCCCAAATTCTGGCTGCTTCAAGTGTCATTTGATGTCTCACCTGTTACGTTTTGTTGTATTTGCCTTTTTGTTTGGAACAGATTAAAAATAATGAACCTTTGATCAACGTGCTTTACAAAGTGCTGAAGAAGTCAGCACGGGGCTGTCGGCCCAGGAGAAGCGTAAGATGATCTGATCCGTGTCTCCGAGCGGGGTCATTCCATTGCTTCTGGCTCCGTGCCGACTTCATCACTTGCTTAACCAGTTGCTCTCCCGACTGCCCCAGGCTTCCCGCAAGTCATTTTGGTTTATTTTCTTTCAACTGAAGCTCTTTTCAGCATTTTGGCTGATGCACCAAGCTGAGCCTCTCATCTGTGGTTTTCTGTGACTCCATGTTTTGTGCTGTCAAGGGTGGGGGAGCTTGCCTGGCTTGCCACCAGCTTATGTTGTGTTTCCATCATCACGTGTCTGCCTCCATGGCGAGGGCTCACCCAGACAGAGTTGAGCATGAGTTTCTTGGGAGGGAACAGCAGTTACTGGTCACCTTCCAAGAGCCAGGGTATCCTCAGATTCCATGGTAGCCCTGAGATTAAGGTGGCACTTTTTGAGGGCAGGGAGTTGGCGTTTAGATAACAGCTTGAAGCTGGACTAGAATAAAATGCCACCCCTTGCCCATACCCTCTTTAACTGATGCAGAAGTAGGGACTGCAGTGTGGCCAGCTCTCATAGCATTCCAGGGGAGGCTGCAGATCAGGAAGCAGGTGTTGTGTCCAACCATCCTGAGCCCTGAGAAAGTGGGTTGGGATGTGGTGGAGGGGAGGGAAGATGCCTGGGTGGCCTTTGATTTCCCTCTATGAAGAGACTCTTTCACGTGGATGAGTACCCATAGCCTTTCTTTTTCTGATGACAGGGATGCTGGGGGAATCCAGAGTTGATGTTTTAAGTGTATTTAAACATTGCTCTCACACACTTTTAAAAGAAAAATTAGATTTAATATGGTACATGTGGATATGCTATTTCTCAGTAGCCTCTGCTCTCTTGAGCAGAGCCAAATTCAGAAGCTTAAAGGTCTTCTGAGCTGTAGGAGTAGCTCTCAGGAAGCCCATGCTCTAAAGCCTGTGACTTTCCATCCACAGGAGGCAGAGACAGCTCATGTTACTTTGACACATTCATGAACTTCCTAAGTAAACATTGCCCGACTATCCTCAATATGCTAGGCCCTGGCCAGGCTTTGAGGATACAAAGGAAAGGGATTGGTCTCTACAGTCACCCCTAATTAGGTGACTCTGTAGTAAGGAGAGACAAATGAGCAAAAAGAACATTGTACTCTGATGTGCTGAGTACTGTAGTAGCGGCAGATGCAACGTGTGGGAAGAGCACCCTGAAGGGCACCACCCCCAGTTAAAGGGAGAGAAGAGATGTAAGTACCTCGTCTCTGTCATGCTTATAGTCCTTTGATTTCCTGACCTACAACACCAAATAAGCAGCACTTTAAAAAGGGACAAGAGAAATCTACTTCTCAGAAAAAGAGGTAGAACTAATATCCTGAGAGGGAGAAAAAAGGTTGAATGTATATTCAGTATTCTAGGAAGGCAGCAAAGGGCATACTTTTAGAAAACTTTCCATCAAAAAGTGTAATTTAGAAGATTCAGTTTCTTCTCAAAACGCCCCTTTTATATAAAAGTATATTCTCATTCTTTTCTTGATGGTGCTAGATAAATGAAGCATTGCTCAATTAGATTTTCTGCCTTGTTATTTAAGTATCAAAAAGATATCCTCTGTAAAAAGCTTCAGTGAAATAAGGGGAAGAGTTTTGCTGGGGGAAGAATCCCCAAAGTGTGTCTCCATTTGAAAATGATTTCTGCCTAGGAAATGAGCCCCAAAGGTCAGCTCCTTCGGAGAACAGAGTCTCCTTGTCCTTGGGTTTGATGAAAGCACGATGACGTAGAGAGAAGACTTCACTGCTTTCACCTGCTTTTTCTCCTGAGTTCCCCTGAGTTTAAAACCCACATTCTGCCTGAGAAGTTCAGCTGTTTGTGATTTACCAGGATTAATTTCATGCCTACCCAGCCCCCACCCCGTTGCAGGAGACAGCACAGCCTGTTTGTTTGTGGATCGTTGCAGTCTGGTGTTCTGCAACTGCGTGTGTATGTGTATGTACACATAATCTGCCAGTCTGAAGAGCAGAATTTGACTGGAGTTCTGTTTTCTCCAGGAACTCGACAACACTGACCTACATGTGTTTCCCTTTGACCTACATGCAATTCAATAAGCATTTGCTGAGTTTGTGCCAGGTCTTCTGTTCAGGGCTGACTTACCAAGATACAGAAAATAATGGTCCCGCCCTCCTCTGTACGACCAAAGGGATCATGGGAATGGGTGGGGCAGGTGTGTAGCCCAGAATCAGTCCTCACCCCAAGGTAGGGAGAGGTCCTCTCCCTTGACCTTTGGATTTGCTCATGATAATTTGCAGGGAGAAGTAGCATAGGACAGGTGGGCACATGAAGTGCTTGAGCACTGAGGGGCATGTTTGCCAATTTATTTCCACCCCCACTTCACACTGACAAACTTCCCGGACCTTACAGATGGAATGGGGAGAAATCCACAGCCCTCTCTCCAGCAGCTGTCTACACCTCCCTGCATAGCACACACACCACCTGTCTCTGCCACTGTTAGCTCCACCCTCCATTTCCCTGGTCAGATCTGCAAAATAGAGCTCAGTGAGGTGGCTTCCCCTATACCAGGCACATTAGACTTGGCTCTCCCTGGCCTCGTTTTGTCCGTGGGATGGTGCATCTGTGAAAGTCACTCCCCTCAGCCCCTGCATGACTTTTGGCAAGAAAGAGACTAGGGGAAATGGAAAAATGGGATAAGTTAGATTTAGATTCTCAACAGTCAGTGGGATACAGGCAGCATATTGCCTAATTTGAGTCAAGTGAGGGACAGGAAATGTGAAATCCCATTGGCCCACAAGTGTGGGTGACTTTTATGTATTGCTCTGTGGTTTTCTTTCTTGTAATTTATACAAGTACAGCCTAGCCTCAGTTATTCAGGGAAAAATTAAAAAAACCCACTGGGAACTTGCCAGGTTCCTTTTTTCCTTGGCCAGTTCTTCTTCCCAAATGACACAGGGTGAGGAAGGCTGGCCTTACCCATGGGGGAGTGGGCTGCTCAGAGACTCCCTTAAGCTAAGGCTTGACAATGGTGAAGGGATTTGTTTGTTCCTCTGGGTCCGCCCATCTCACCACTCTGGGCAGGACGTGATGGGCTTCTGTAACTTGTGTTTGTTCCCAGGTTCAGTAGCACACCTCTGTCTTATCAGTGGCAAATCTTCCAAGATTCATGCTGGTTTTTCACGTTCATTTTAGGCAAATACATACTTTTAAAATTGATGATCCTATAACTCGAACATCTACATTTTCTTTAATTCAGAGGACTTACCAGTGTTATACTAGAATCATGAAAAGGTTTTGGTTTTTCCTAAAATGAAATAGGCGTAGAAATGGAGCAAGGATGGCCCAAGTTTTTGCCCCTGTCCTGCTGTGACCCTACCTGCCACTGCCAAGGGCTTCCACACCATCCGTTGTAGGATGAATTTTCTTTCCGGAGTTCTGATCTCAAACACCATGGTTAAATCTCTTTTAAATTGTTCACCTCCCAGATGACAGGCCGGGACCTTCTTAAGGATCGAAGTCTGAAGCCTGTGAAGATCGCGGAGAGCGACATTGATGTGAGTGAACAGAGTGACATGCTGATCCCTCAGCTGCCTCCTGACCCAACCAGACCCAGGGCGAACAGCTTCAGGCAGGGCTTGGATGGTTCTGTAGCCAAAGGCTACCCGATCACAATTTCAAGGTCACGTCCTTTTCTCATCATCCCAGGCCCTCTCCCACCCTGTTCTTGCTTTTAGGTCAAACTGAGCATTTTCTGCGAACAAGACAGGATCCTCCAGGACTTGGAAGACAAGATACGAGCCCTTAAGGAGAACAAAGTACGTGTCAGTTTTGAATAACCTTGGGATGAGTAGAGGGGCATTTTGTCCTGTCTTTCTTGAGACATACACTGTACCATTATGTTAGTATTGAACAACAGATGTTAGCCTATTTAAAAAGAAAATGCCCTTGTGTTTAAATGGTGTTTCTTAGGTGTTTCTATCTTATAGAGACCCTCCTGCCTCCATTCTGCTTTGGCCCACCTCTCCCTGGAAGCCCTGTGAGGTGAACCTGGAAGAGAAACTCCACTGGCTTATATGTGATGCCCCCAGGTCCTTGAACCCCAGGGAAGCAGGGTTCCTTTGGATAAAGTGGCTGCAGTCATTACAGGGCAGAGTCCTTCCTAAAGTGCCTTGTCTCCTAGGCTCTGGACTATGGAGGCAGCAAGTCTGGCTAGGAGTGTAGGAATGGGCCACCAACATTTGGTCTTTTCTATTCTTAAAGTAGTTTTTTTCCTTTTGCGTTTTAAAAAGACATGATAATTGTGATGCTGAAAGTTGAGAATATACTCTTTTCCCTAGGAGGTTAGAGAGGCTTTTTTTAAAAAAAATTCTTTGTTTTATCCTCTTAGTTTATCCCATAAGGAGTTAGACAGCTGTATCCCTGGTCTATAGATGACGAAATTGAGGTCACAGAGCTGTTAGGTACTTTTCCCTAGACAGAGTCAGAGCTGGCATCAGAGTCCCTGACTGTGGGCCCACAGCTCAGCGCTGGTCCCTTCAGCCTTGGTTGTGTCCAGTAGCTTTGCTTCCTGGTGTGGTATGGGGAGGTCTCTGGGGACTGTCCTATCCTGTTTTTCTTTGACCCTTCCTGGTGTAGGACCAGCTAGAATCCGTGCTGGAAGTATTGCACAGACAGATGGAGCAGTACCGAGACCAGCCCCAGCATTTGGAGAAGATTGCCTACCAGCAAAAGTTGCTGCAGGAAGACCTGGTCCATATCCGAGCTGAGCTCTCCAGAGAGTCCACTGTGCGTAGAGGGTGGCAGACCCATCTTCCTCGGGACGGGCTGGGCGAGGGGCTGCTTTTCCCACCTCCCAAGATGTAGTTGAGTTGGTGTCCAGAGATAAGAGTCCTGAAATAGCAGGGCTTCTCCAGTAGCAGAACTGCCTGCTGACAGTAGATGACCTTGTCTGGGGGTGACATGTCTGCCTGCATGTGTGCCATAGGCTGCTTACCACAGCGACTCTTGAAGGCCAGTGACATCCAGTGGGCCAGATTCCTCAGAGCTCCCTGCAAGGCTGTTCCCTGATCTGTGTGCAGTTGATTCTAAGATGTCAGAATTTCTGCTTTTTTACTTGTCAGTTTGTTGTGGTACAGTCCAGGGCTGAGAAAGCATCCTGAGGGTGGAAGAGAGGACTGTGCAGGCGGCCAGGGTCAGAGCACAAATGAGAGGATGCCATGCTTCTTCCTGCTCCTGTCTCTGTCCCACCAGGCCTGCCTGAGGCCTGCCAGGTCTCCTTCCCTCCTCCCCTGGCTAGGTAAGCATGGTCAGGTATACAGGTGCTCATGAGGCCTCCTGAGGGGCAGGGGATAACTGAGAACTGGAAGCATTTTCTTGGCCAACAGGAGATGGAAAATGCTTGGAACGAATACCTGAAGTTGGAGAATGATGTGGAACAGCTGAAGCAGACCCTGCAGGAGCAACACAGAAGAGCCTTTTTTTTCCAGGTGACTTGATACTTGTCCATCCCCTCGAGCTCTTGTTTTTTTCCAAGAGCCTTCACCTGTGGCGGCTGTGAGCGCTGCTCAGGGGACTTTTCCGTCTCTGCCCCAGATGTTCCACCCCTGTAAAGGAGCCACCCCAAGCTCTCCCTTGAGGATCCCTTCCCCGAGCCAGGCTGTGATGAGAAGCCTCACCCCATTCCCCTCGCCTCTCTGCTTTCAAAGACAAGCTCTTGGGTGTTTTAAAAAGGGCTTTACTTCTGATCATTTGGGGTGATCATGATCACAGAGTGATCAGTGTTCCCGTAGTTCTTGGCCCATCTTAGGCTGCTAGCTCATTGCTTAGACAGCAGCAGGAAGCATCCACCTCTTCCCTCCTCTGATTCCTGGAGATAGATGTTATCACACCTCTACCAGAGGGAGACAGTGTGAATTTTGTTCTTTGAGGCACTCTGGTGTCCAGGCAGTCATCTGCATTTCTGGAGGCCAGGCTGTGTGATACCCATCTCTGTGACCCCTATACCACTCAGGAAAGGTGGCCTTACAGCCCTGCCTCTTTACCCTTAAAAAATTAGGCCACCCCACTGATAGCTGCCTCTGTCTCCTAGAAGGGAGACAGTGAAAGGCCCTGTGTGGTTTTTCTATTGTGTTCCTAGCTGCCCAGTGTTCCCACACTGTGGTGCTTAACCAGTTTTCCACCCCACCTTCACAGTTCTTTAAGTGGAAAGTAACCTGTTTTTGTCTCACCTCACTTAAGATCTATATCCTCTCCTTTCAGGGCCCTGACATAAGTGTGTTTGAATTCAGCAAGCATTAATTTGAGGCTTCCTGTGTATGAGGCACCATGCTGGGCCACTTTTGGTGCTGGCCTTGCTAATTGATGAGCTAGTTCGAACCAAGACTCTTCGTTTAAGTGATTTAATAAGTATGTTGACTCTCCAGACATTAGCCTCACCCCAGAAAGTTGAAGGAAATTCTGGAGGAGGTTTAGGTATGTGGGTCCTGAGGCTTTTCCCAAGGCCCTGATGTCCTTCTGTTCATGCAGAGATGGTTCCCAGAGAGCCCTACCTAGGACCACATGGAGGAGACCCTTGCCTGTGGCTCAAGTCTTGCCTGCAAGACTCTCCCCAGCACCTGTCTGTCTTCTGCTGCTGCTGGGGTTGTTTCCCTCCCATAATTTCTCTTCATCCACACGAGCTAACATTTCAGTACTCTTTTTTGTAGCCCCAGCACTTACCATAATGACTTGAAAATACTAGGTGAATACTGTTGACAAAGTCCTTCAATTATTTCTGGTTATGAGTTCCTAAAACTGTCCGCCCAGGTATACCTATTTTCTTGGACTTCAGTGATCTGAATTTTTTTTAGCAGTAATTTTTTTTCCTTTATTTATTATTTTTTTTAGCTTTTCATCCTTTGTTTCTGTAATTACACAAATGATACATGAATAAGTGTCTTTGAAAAGGCCAAAATAATAAGAAGCAAAAACAAAAAATGATACAAAAGCTCCTCTTCCCCCTCTCCCTTTCTGCCCCCCATCACTCTGCCTATGTGCCATCAGTGCTATCTGTTAATGTTGCTTTCTAGACCATTTTCTATGCATTTTCAAAAATATGCACATGTATAGAATCATATGATTTATTCAGGGGTGGGAGCAGGTAAAAGCTTATTTAAAGATGATCACATTTGTACATTATTTGGCAACTCACTTTTTTGTCATAACCTGATATCATGGAAAATTTTCCAAAAAAGTTAACCCCAAATTTATGCTGCCCAATAAAATAGAAATTAATTAAAAGTAACTGAAATTCAAAATGTATCCTCATTTTAACCAGACTCATTCAAGTGCTCCATATCCACATGTGGCTATTGGCTACTGTCATGGACAGTGAAGATTATAGGTTTCTATCATCTCAGAAAGGTGTATTGGGCAGCACCAGTCTAAGAAAATTAAATTCATTCTTCTTGACTGTTACATACTATTTCATAGTCTGGGTGTTTCCTGCTTTACGTAGCCATTCCTTTTCTGATGGCATTTAATTATTTTTGGTGTTTTGTTTTTATAAATGGTGTTGTGATTAGGATTCACCTTTTCATACTTGTTTACAAGTACCTGAGATAGGCTCCTAGGAGTGGACTTGCTGGGGTTGAAATGAGTTTACATCTTAAAAGTTGATGGATATGCCAAGCCACCTTCTAAAGGGCTGCATTTGTTTACCTTCCCACCCATAGCAAATGAAAGTACTGAACCTATTTGCCCACATCCTTGTCAGCATTTGTAATCAATCTTTCTAGTCTTGCCTGTATACTAAATGACATCTTGTTTTAATTTGCATTTATTTAGTTATTAGCAGGTGAAACATCTATTCATATGATTTTTGACCACTTGTGTCTCTACTGTGCCTTATATCATGATGATTTAACAAAGAGCAGGCCAGAGCCCTTTTTTCCCCTTCCCTCCAAAAAGCAAATTGAACACTGACAGGTCTTTGTCACAGACTCCCTGGAGAACTCAGCCCCATGAGTGACTCTCAGGCCAGCCTAGAGCCTGCAGCTTGATTTCCACCTTGCCTGCGGCACTGCTCACACTTTCCCTAAGTGGTGCAGTGACCTGGGAAGCTCACAAAGCCCTGCTTTGAGCACACGCTGTGCTAGCTTCTTTGGTGTCATCCTAGGCCAGGCAGGCTGTGAGAGCCCTAGATAAATCATCAGCACTGCAGATACACTTGCAGCCCTATATGCAGATTCTCAGTAACAGGGCTTAGAAACTCACCTCCCTGTAGCCTGGTTGGCTCCAGGAAAATGGCCTTTTCAGTCAAGGCTAAAACAGTGAGTTCAAGGCTTTGCTGAAAGCAGCACATAGGAGCCTTTCTGCCCAGTGTGGTGTAAGCAGGCAGGAATGAAACTCCACTCCCTTGTTTCCCAAAACCTCCCCTCATTATGAAGGCCCCAAATTCTATCACCCTTGGAGAATGATAGGGACTCTCCAGCCTTTTTTCTTCCCTGCTCTCTGATTTTCTCTCACATGCAGGGGTGACAGAAAAGCATAGAGAGGGCAAGAGAGTGGCTGACGGGGGCTTTGCCAGGGAGCTCTGGTGGAGGAAGCAGACTGCATTTAATCCCTTTCTTTACCTGTTCCCAACACTCAGCTTGGGGACTTCGGCCCTAGAGGTCATCCTCTTACACACATATGCTCTGGGCTCAGTAATACACCTGTCTGTTTTAGGATGCTCATGCATTGGCATGGAGCTGAGAATCAAGCCCATTATTTGCTTCAGACCCGAGGATGTGCTTTATGTTGGAGGGGTCGAGAGAGAGTGAGAACTGTGAGCCCCCTTGGGTCAGGAGGCTTTGGACATCTGTTGTCATGGCTATTGGAAAGTATTTGCTCAGGGAATTTTACATGACTGGTCCTTTACTCATGTAGCATGTATGCAGTGAGAACTGCTAAGTGACAGGCCCTGTAGGGGCAGTATCGGGCAGGTCCTCGAGGCTCATGCAGTGCGAGAACTCTTCCAGTTGATGGGTAGCTGGGTGCCTTGAGAGGAGATGGGGTGGGAAGCTTGCCTTTATTTTAGTCCATGGGGTGGGACCAAGGCTCTCTTTCCCCAATTATAACTTGAAAGTCAAGAGAATACTACATTTGATGTTTAAACAACCCCATCAAGAGATGGCCATAGTCCCTTAGTGACATCAGACCCCTCCACACCTCTTTTAGATCCTCTTCCCATTCGATTTTGGTTGTCACTTGTTAGAATGCACGTGATCACATAGCCTAGGTCCTTCCTCATTGTATGTAGATATGTATTCTTTGGAGTTTATTATTTTTTTAAATTGACACATAAAAATTGTACTCTTATACTAAAAAAAATTAACAGCTTTATCATATAATTCACATGCAATAAAATTAACAACCCTTTTGGCTGGTCATGGTCGTGGCTCATGGCTATAATCCCAGCACTTTGGGAGGCCAAGGCAGGAGGATCACTTGGAGCCAGGAGTTCAAGACCATCCTGGGCAACATAATGAGACCCCTATCTCTACAAATACCAAAAAGAAAGAAAGAAAGAAAAAGAAAAAAGAAAAACTAGCCAGGCATGTTGGCATGCTTCAGTAGTCTTAGCTACTTGGGAGTCCAAGGCGGGAGGATCACCTGAGCCCAGGAGTTTGAGGTTACAATGAGCTGTCACCAACTAAGATGAAGCCCAAAGTTGTGATGTCTCAGAGCTGAACGCCATTGTTTCCTCTGTGTCCTCAGATCACCTTCTCCTGGGAGAGAACCTCCTGGGAAAACTTGGGGAAAGGGGCCCAGCCAGAGTCCTAAAGGAGTCCTTAGTCACAAGCAGTTAAAAACAAAGTGACTCTGTCTCTAAAAAAAATAAAAATAAATTCACTGTTTTAAAGTATACATTTCAGTGGTTGTTAGTATATTCACAGCATTGCTGTCACCATAATCAATTTTATAACACTTCATTATTCCCCAACAGAAACCCCGTATTCATTAGCAGTCACTCCCATCCCCACAACATCCCCTCTGCCCTAGCTGAACATGAATCTTCTTTCAGTTTCTACTGATTTGACTAGTCTGGACATTTCTCATAAATTGAATCATATAACATGTGGCATCTTGTAACTGGCTTCTTTCCCTCATGTGTTTTCAAGGATCATCCTTGTTGTAGCATGTATCAGTACTTCATTCCTTTTTATTGCCAACTAATATTCCATTCCATGCTATATTTTTAGCTAAACCTCAAATCTCAGGTTCAGCTCTGACTTTTAAAAAGTGTTTTTTATACCCTAGAGATGGTGTAAACTCTAATCCTTGCCTTTCCTTCTGCCATGGTTACATAAGACAGTGCCTCTTAAAAATTTGTGATAAAAAAACAAAATAAAATAAAATAAAATAAAAATTTGTGGTAAAATACATAGAACATAAATTTTACCATCTTTATTATTATATTTTGTTGAGACAGGGTCTCTTTTGCCAGGCTGGAGTGCAGTAGTGCGATCTCAGCTCACTGCAACCTCTGACTCTGGGGTTCAAGTGATTCTCGTGCCTCAGCCTCCGAGTAGCTGGGATTTAAAAGAGCTTGCCACCACGCTTGGCTAATTTTTGTATTCTTAGTAGAGCCAGGGTTTCGCATGTTGGCCAGGCTGGTCTCGAACTCCTGGCCTCAAGTGTTCCACCGCCTTGGCCTCCCAAAGTGTGGGAATACAGACAGGAGCCATTATACCTGGCTCATCTCAATTATTTTTAAGTATATAGTTCAGTGGTAAATATATTCACATTTTTGTGCACCCAATCTCCAGAATTTTTTATCTTGTATAACTGAAACTCTATACACATTAAATAGTTCTCCATTCTTCCCTCTCCTCACCCATAGCAACCACTGTTGTACTTCCTGTCTCTATGAAATTAACTACTCTACGTACATCATACAGGGTTTTAGTGGAATGGCACAGTGTTTACGGCAGTCTGTTTTTAAATTAGGTAGGCAAGCTGGACTGGTGAAAGCTACTGTGAAATTTCTCCCTGCATCTTGGGCATTTTCTATATCTGTGCTTCCCTAGGAAACTGTGAAACAGACTTGGCTCTGGCACTAGTGAGGTTTCCAGAGCAGATGCTGCCCTCCAGGGCAGGGGGCTCTGTCTGAAATGGTAGGATAAGTCCTCAGAAGAAACTTCTTGTAAGGAGCTAAGAAGGCAAACCCACCACTTTGTCTTCCTCAGGAGAAATCGCAGATACAGAAAGATCTATGGAGAATTGAAGATGTCATTGCAGGCCTGAGTGCAAATAAAGAGAACTTCAGAATCCTTGTGGAGTCGGTCAAAAATCCAGGTGAGCTGTTCATCTTCCTGGGTGCAGGGGGGTCTGGGTGGAGGGGTGGCAGGGAGAGGTCGGGTCTTTGAGGTGCTAAGTCACTCCACTCGTCCCACTCCCCCTTCCGAGGAAGGGGGTCTTGGTTCCATCCCGTGCTTTGTTTTCTTCTGTGCCCCTTAGAGAGAAAAACGGTGCCTTTGTTTCCACACCCGCCTGTGCCTTCGCTCTCAACTTCTGAGAGCAAGCCTCCCCCACAGCCCAGTCCTCCCACCAGCCCTGTGCGGACCCCTCTGGAGGTTCGACTCTTCCCCCAGCTGCAAACCTACGTGCCGTACCGACCTCACCCACCCCAGCTGAGGAAAGTGACATCCCCCCTTCAGTCACCAACTAAGACGAAGCCCAAAGTTGTAAGTAGTGATGTCTCAGAGCTGAATGCCATTGTTTCCTCTGTCTCCTCAGATCACCTTCTCCTGGGAGAGAAGCTCCTGGGAAAACTTGGGGAAAGGGACCCAGCCAGTGTCCTAAAGGAGTCCTTAGTCAAAAGCAGTTAAAAAGTAGTATTTCCCTGCTGTTGTGCCTTAGACTCTCAGAACTGGAAGTCCCCTGAAAGATGATGTAACCCAACTCTCCCACTTTGCAGTTGGGAAAACTGAGGCCAACCAAGAAGAAGTGACTGTGCTGAGGAGGGTAGAGTTTGTGGTCTTCACTGTGCAGAGAGGTGTGTGGCTGTGGGCAAGGCTGTCCCCATGTAAGCCTCTGTGCAAATCTGCGGGGGGCTCTCCTGCAGTTACACAGCCTGTGGGCAGTGAGCTCACTCCAGTGGAAAAGTGTCCTTCCCTTCACCTGCCGCTGAGCACTGGGCTGGGTTGTGAGGATGCTTTGATCTTTAAAATAACCTCGAGGAGTATACACAGCCAGGGCAATATCCCCATTCCACAGAGATGAAAATTAAAGCCTAAATTGTTGACATTTGCTCAATATCGCCATGCTAACTAGTGAATCCAATCACATCTCCTGGCCCTTCTCTTTTATTCTGTGCCATCTACCATCTAACTGGGCCTTCAGTCCCAGATCTGGTCTGTGACCTCTGTGCTGACTGGGCCAGAACCTTGATTTGCCTAGAATAGAAAGGGGCCAAGCTCTTGGCAGCGTCTGGGAATGCAGCAGACTTTAAGGAAACAGGAGATGTGGTCAGGTCCCAAGAGAGCTTACACCTCCAGGGCCAGGCCAGCCTTGGCTGGATAACACAAGGAGGCCGGTCCTAGTGCAGGGAAGCCATAGCAGAGTGGACCTCGGAATGGGGGCCTCCAGATTTTTACCAACAGAGGCTTGGAGGAGACTCACTTGGGCACTACGTGTGCCTGGACCTCTGATGAGGTCAGTGCACAGTGCTGGGTAAAACACATGAGTCCTGGTACCCTGGTCCTCACCATCTACCTGCTTCCAGCCATGGCCCAGGGCCCAGAGCTGGACTCAAGAGTGTGGCGCAGCCCCCAACCAGAGAGTCACTGTGGGTTTCAACATCTTGAGATCTCCTTCCCAATCCCAGATACAAGAGGTGGACTGGAGCTCTGGCCCTAAAACAGAAGGTAGAAAATACCAAAACAAACAGCAGGAATGTCTGGGGCAGATAGTTGCCGACATAGAGCAGAATGCTGTCAGCTGGGACAGGGAGTAGGGGGAAAAGGCTCTGGTATAGGAGCTGGAACACCCAGAATCTGGGACTGATTCTCATTGTATCCTCAGGCAAGTCTGTCCCTTCTCTGAGCTTCCTCAGTTTCCTTTTTATAGAGGGTCACAGAGGCTTCTCCTCAGCATGAGCATCTGTGGCTCTCAGGCAGAGCTTTTTCAGCTTGGGTGAGCACTGGGGTCACCAGGGAGGTCCTCTCTCCTAGGAATATATGCGTATTTGCCAGTTTCACCATTCGTTTTGTTATTTGCTTGTTTTTAACACTTATAAGATGAGCGTGGTGGTGCATGCCTGTAGTCCCAGCTACTGGGGAGGCAGAGGCAGGAAGATTACTTGAGCCCAGGAGTTTGAAGTTACAGTGACCTGTGATCACACAACTGCACTCCAGCCTGGGCAATACAGCAAGACCCTGTCTCAAAACAAAACCAAACCCGTTTGTATTTGTGAAACAATAATATCCATTTTGAAAATGACATAAAACAGGATTATATAATTTAACGAATAATAATAAAGAGGACACCTGTTTTCTACCAACACCTAGACTAAGAAATAGAACACTACCAGCAGCCAGAAGCCGGTGACTTCATTCCCAGGCCAAGCTGCTCCCTGTCTGCCAGAAGGAACCATGATCTTGACTTTTTGGATAATAATTCCCTTGCCTTTTTTTTTTTTTTTTTTTAGTACCTGTGTTGACATTCCTAAACACTGTGATTATGCTGGTATATAATTCTATACTCTTTTCCTATCTTGGATCTTTTCTTCAACATCATGTTTGTGAGATTTATACACATTGTTGCATGTGACTGTAGTTCATTTTTATTTGGCTTAATTTTTTGAGTTTAATGTCTTTTTAAAAATAGATAATATTCTCAAAGGATACAAAAGGAAAAGAGAATTAAAAAGTACATAATAACATGTCTCCTTCCCACCTTCTGTCTTCAGACATTCCATTCAATCAAAGGCAATCCATGTTTGTGTTTATCTTTCTGGGGGGCTTTTTAGAAATGGGTGATTCAGATGTCTTATCAGGACTGGAAGCTGGATCCTCAGAGAACTGGTAACTTTCACACCTCAGTGAAGTGTGTTGCTTTAGAAAATTGTTGATAAACTTTTGCTTTGGAGTGCTCTTCCCTGAACTTTCCAAGTGTTTGGAGTGCCCTTTCCTGAACTCTGGGAAATTCTTAAAAACAAAACCAAATTAGACTAAGAAAAAGGGAACTTAGGAGGTGGAGGCTGTGAAGGTCATTAGCCCTGCGAGTGGGTGTTCATGGCAGCCAGGGCCAGTCTGTTGATATGTGGAGGAACGATAGCCCTCACAGAGCACTTCGGACAGGGAGTTTCAAGGAAAACACTTGTATTCATCACATTCTAGGGAATGAGCTGCTTGGTAAGCAGTGAGTCACTCATCCTAACCGCCTGTTCTGCCTGAGTCAGGAGGGAGGAGTTATTTTGTAACCATGCGCATTTCTGATAGAAAGGCCAGGAGGATGTAGCCTCTGTCCTTGTTCGGGTCCCCACCCTGCTGAAGGATCCACAGCTGGTGCAGGGCCAGTAAGCCGGCTCGGGCTGACCACTGCTGAGTGGGTAGATGTTTATTTTCCAGGTAGGTGGTGCTGTCATAAGCATGGAAGTCTGGGCAGGGTTAGCGGCCTGCCTGTGATGTGCACTCCCGATGAGTGAAGGGAGCAGCTTGGCACAGCACCAAGGGCAGAGACCCAGGAAGCCTGAGTCCTAGGTTTTGGGACACATTTATACAGACATCACTTTGAGGAACAGAAACTGTGTACATCTGAGGGGAGAGAGGAGCAGAGGTGTGTCCCTTCTTCACTGCTCCTCCAGGGGAAATGTGAGTGTTCCTTGGCTGAGGGGGTCATGTTCTGTGGCTCTGATGTGACCTGTTCCTGCCCTTTAAACCCCCGACTGTGGCAGTACACTTAGCAGCCCTCCCTTCAGCTCCATCTCACTGGGCACTGGTCTGATTCTGTTTCTCAGCAGGAAGATGAAGCACCTCCTAGGCCCCCACTCCCTGAGCTCTACAGCCCAGAGGACCAGCCCCCAGCTGTGCCACCTCTCCCCAGAGAGGCCACCATCATCCGGCACACGTCTGTGCGGGGCCTGAAGCGGCAGTCGGACGAGAGGAAGCGAGACCGGGAGCTAGGGCAGTGTGTGAACGGGGACTCCAGAGTGAGCAGGGGTCCCTGGGGCTGCCACTCTGCGTGTGGGGAGAGGGAAGAGGGTGTGACACCTGCACGTGTGACCACCTGGGACTCTGTCCACAGGTGGAGCTGCGGTCGTACGTCAGTGAGCCTGAGCTGGCGACCCTCAGCGGGGACATGGCCCAACCCTCCCTTGGACTTGTGGGCCCTGATAGCGGGTACCAGACGCTGCCAGGCAGAGGTAAGGCAGGGCCCTCCCTGAAGCTTCCCTGGGAATCCCAACACACTGCTTCCAGCACTCAGCTGGTACCTCATACCCGTCAGCCTGCAGCTCTAGGAGTGAGCAGCAGCTGGCAGGGGCTGTGGGCTGCCAAGAGGGAGGGCCTGGCCTGCCTTCATCTGGCCTACATCCTGATTCTCTTCCTCTGTTGTTACATCTGTCCCCAGGAACAATGATAATAGCAGTTACTAGAAAGCCTGGCATTGTTTAAGCACTTTATATTGACATGATATTCACAGCAATCCTATGAGGAAAGTACTGTTATCCCCATTTTAGAGACATAGAAACTAAGGCCCAGAAAAAGTAAATAATTCGCCAATTAGCTGATCAGTGGTGGAGCCAGAAGACAATCCCAGTGCTCTGGCTCCAGAGTCACTGCACCCTGCAGACTGGGGTGCTGGGTGGCTACCACCAGCTTGGCCATCTTGGGGCTTCCAGACTGCTTCCCTCTCTTGTGCCACTCTAAGACTCAATGAGCCCTTTCCTCAAACACTTTCTCACCAGTTGAATGTCCTTCTCACTGTCTTCCTCACCCCAAGTTGGGTTGTGAAGGGTGCCTAAGAGTGGATCAGGGAGTGAAAGGCATTCCTTCCCCTCCAGCCTTCCATCTGCCGGCCGGCCCAGTCTTCTGCATATAAGGAAAGCCTGGGGTGGTGCACAGATCTGTAGGGACACTGCCCCCCATCAGGGACAAAGGTCACCCCTGGGCTGGCACCCCCATCCTCTCTTGGGGACCTTGGTCTTCCAGGTCCTGGGGAGGAAGAAGAGAAATAAGGATGGGTCATTGGGTGGGTGCTCTTGGTCCCCTTGTAAGATTGGGGGATGATGAGGGAGAAGCAGGGACCCGCCCATCCCAGCACAAACATGCTTGTCCTTCTCTTTCCTCACTAAGGGCTCTCAGGGTCCACGTCAAGACTCCAGCAGTCATCCACCATTGCTCCCTATGTCACACTCCGGAGGGGTCTCAATGCAGAAAGCAGCAAGGCAACCTTCCCTGTGAGTGGCCTCAAGCTGTCAAGGAGCTCCCTGCTCCTTCACATGTGGAGGGAGGGACTTCTGGGGGACAGTGACTTGCTATCCCATCAGCCCCCGGGATGTCCTCTGGGGTGGCTTCAGCCTGTCCTGAGCTCCCTGTCACCCACTGCCCCATCAAGGAGGGCATCCTGCCTTTCTCTGTGGCCTGTCAGGGTGGCAGGAGGGAGCTCAAGAAGCCTGCACCCTGAGTTCTGGCCTCACTGGACAGGCCTGAGCCTCCGTGTCTGCATCTGCAGAATGGGTGCTGCTCAGAAAGCTCCTGAGGGCTGAGGGCATCATGTTGCTTAGAGGAAGTAGTTCTCTGAGGCTGAGAGGAACCCAACTAGAGAAGTAAGTGTGTGTGTGTGTGTGTGTGTGTGTGTGTGTGTGTGTGTGTGTGAGAGAGAGAGACACAGAGAGAGGGAGTCAGAGAGACAGCGGGAATGCAGCTGGCAGGGTGGCTGTCCTCTGTGCCCAGCCCAGCCATTCTGTGTCTCTCCTGTGTGCCTCCTCTTCCTCAGAGACCCAAGAGTGCCTTGGAGCGCCTGTACTCAGGAGACCACCAGCGGGGCAAGATGAGTGCGGAGGAGCAACTAGAACGCATGAAGCGGCATCAGAAGGCCCTGGTCCGAGAGCGCAAGAGGACGCTGGGCCAAGCGGAGAGGACGGGCCTGCCCTCATCTCGCTACCTCAGCCGGCCGCTCCCAGGAGATCTTGGCTCAGTATGTTAGGAGTGGGCAGGGACAGGAAGCCCAGTGCCCCTCAGAGTCCCCCAAATACAAGCACATCACACCTTCCGGTGAGCGAGCTGTCCCTTGACCTAGATGCTTCAGAGAACACCCCACGGGGCTGTTTGTCCACGACCCAGGCTGGACAAACACCTGGTCAGAGGGTGACCTGAACCAGAGCTGGAGTGAGGATCAAACAGGCATACCAGTCAGTCCTCCCAGCCACGCTCTGCAGGCGTACAGAATCTCAGCCGAATTCAGGACGTGGGAATACAGGGTTCAGAGAGGAGAGGAAGAAGATGGTGACATGATTGATTAGAAGCAAAAGCAAACCGACCAGCCTCCCAAACCTGCCAGCGGATGCTCTGGGAGGGCGATGCAGCACTGGGCTGCACCCCTCTTCCCGAGGGCCACTGGTCTTCCTGGGCTTTGCAATGCAGAGGCATCAGGGTGTCCGGGAGAGCTGGGGCGGCCTGTGCTGCCCCCTAGTGGCGCTTCCTGACACTGCGCCCTGTTCACAGTCACTTGAGGTCCCTTTTGGAAACATTCCATTTGACTTTTCCCTGTTGTTTGAAATCCCATGTTTTCCTAAACCTCTAGCCTGATCTTTCCCTAATTCATTGCACAAGCTCTTTTGCTTTTAGTGTTACCGCTCATTGCCTCTCTAATCCTGCCTGATTGTGTTTACAGAAACTTCTGATTTGCGTTGAACATGCTCTAACTGGCCTGTGCTACTTGTTATCAGGCTTATAATAGCAGCTCTTATCTCCATAGCCTATTGAGCGTTCCCAGATGTGACTTGCCTTTCTGCTGCCCTCTTCATGCAGGCCTACTGACTCATAATTAATTTGTCCCAAAAGCCACCCCGCAAGCCTGAGCCAACCTGTTACCTGAGACCACAGTCATTGGCAGAGGTTTGGGCATTATGAATTTATAAAACTCCATGCCTTACACCTGGACAATAAACAGGGACTTCAGAGATTGCACGTTTGACTACATTCTACAAAGGCTGAGGTTGTTCCATTTTAATTCCTCTAGTCCAATCACACAAGTTCTTATGGAAAATCTTTTGTGTTTCTGGTATTTAATAACTTGAAGGGATAGCAAAATATACTGTGTATTCAGAGGGCCTATCTGCAGCTCTTAGCTCCGAACCAAAGGGGTAAGACCCAGGACATTCACATCTTTAAAAGCTGCAAACCTGGTAACTTTCACACTTTTAAAACAAATGTCATTTGGAGTAACACTGACCTTTTATAATTTGATGTCTCAAATGTGGAGATTATCTAAAAATCGTAACTTGAATACCTTGTAATCTTTCTCTTCAAAAAAGACTTGTGTCAGTCTCTGCATCAACGCCAATAAACATGTTGCTTAATAATAATGGATTGGCGTGGTTCTTCCCCAGGATACGTTGTAGAATCTAGTGAATGTTTCCTGTTTGTGGAAACAATCAGGCTGGGTTTAAATGAGGACTTATCTCTATTTGGAGCACTTGTGAGCGTGTAAGGAAATGAGTGTTTTCTTTGTGAATCATTAAATTGTTTTTTTCATCCTTGGAACTTCAATTGCCTAATCCTTTCAAGCAATAATTGGAAAACCATCACCTAAGAGTGATTATACTGATTTGGAGTCATTATTGAGAGCTTGTGCATGAATGGGTGAAATGTGTAAATATGGCTCTGGGTTTGGGATTTTGGAGGGACTTGAGGAGGCATCAAAGACAATCAGGACCATTTGAGGCTTTGAGGTGGGTGGATGGGATACAGGAGATGGCCTGGGATAGATAAGCATCTGCTTTGGTTCTGCTCAGGGGAAGAGAGGCTTTGAGCCTGCTCTATTCTCAACAACCTGCTCAGCAGTCAAAGGCCTGTGAGGATGCACGTTCTGGGTCAACAGGAAGCCACCACAGAGCTGGATGGTCATGGTTGGATCTTATGGGTTAGATTTTCCGTCTTGGGAAGCTTGTTACAAATTTATACTGTGGAACATCCTTGGAAACATTCCACTTGATTTAGCATTTCAATTTTATATGATTAGTTTTTTTTCTAATTCAAAGAAAACATCTATCTCAAATATATGGGTCTTATACAGCAGCTTGTCTGCCTCACTGGCTCCAAGCTGCTCTTGCTTGTACTTCCCCATCCCTGCTATGAGTGCGGTATCCCCCACCTACGAATGTTATCTTGTTGGAAATTCCCAACAGAAAGACCCTTGGTTATTCCACTTGCTTAGCAGGGCCTCGAAGGGCATGTTTTTCCATTAATTCTCAGCCTGGGATATATGTCTCCTGAACCAGCAAGTTTTCCAGGAGCTGTAGATAGCAGAAGGGACAAATCCCTTCTCTAGAGCTGTGTCCCAAGTTGTTTGGAGGTCACCCTCTCTGGGAGCCTTCTATTTCCCTGGGGACCACCGTGAGCCTAAAGTCATGAGTCTTTGACCTGTTCCCCAAGGATATATGTTTGAAATTTCTGGGGGCTCAGATCAGAGAGCATTTAGCAGTCTGGAACAACCCATATGAAGGGGACAAAGGCTTTGTTCTCTATTGCACATATAGCTTTTCCCTAAGGGGATCATAGGTCCATCTTCCAAAGGCCCTCATGGAAAAAGGTGACCAGCCATGCTCTTTCAGCAGTCAGGAAACAACTACATTTAACCCTTTTGTTCTGTTGCCAGTGGAAGCGTGAGCAGGACTTTGACCTGCAGTTGCTGGAACGGGTCGTGCAAGGGGAAAGAAAGGACAAGGAGGAGAATGGCTGGTTGAAAGTGCAGGCCATGCCTGTCACTGAGTTGGACCTGGAACCTCAAGACTATGACTTGGACATCAGCAGAGAGGTGAGGGCAGGCGCCTCCTTCATGTCCTCCAGGAGGCATGGCTTTCAAGCTCCCAGCCTGATCCGCCCTCCCACTGGGGGGGTATCATCCTGAATAGGGACATGGCTCAGCTTCAGTGTGGCCTAGGAGAATGGGATGGATAGCAACTTGAGGCAATGAAAGGAGGCAGACGTTTCAGTGAAGGTTCAAATCTATCTCTGTAATTTAGGGCAAATTGTAATTTTAGCTTCTCTGAGCCTCAGTTTTCTCAACAGTGCAGTGGATTGTGAAGAGGATTCAGTGACTCCACATGTTCTCAGGAGGTTTAGTAACCAAAGCTACATAGTAGGCACGTGAGCAGCAGTTGTTATTGTTGGGAAATGTTCCCTGCAACACCAGGGGTTGGCTTTGCAACTGGCTGCTGAGGCCAACTTGGGCAGCCTGACTAGGGGAAAATGGGGGGCAGGTTTGAAAATCACAGGTGAAATTTCCAGCCATGATAGAAGCTCGGAGACTGTGCAGACTTCTGGTCCGAATTCTTCTGCCGCCCTCTTGTGGCTCATGAGCATCATGACAGGGCAGGCCCGGGAGAGCAGTATGGATCTCTACCCATCTAGAATGTCTCTACCCAAGGGAAGAGAAAGGGAACTCAGGGGATGACACACTCAGCGTCTTCAAGACATAGATGGCCTCCTGTGGCCTATGTCGATGCTATTCCTAAGCTCTGCAGGGCAGTGTCTATGGCTGCTTGGTTCACCTTTGTATCCTTAGCCCCTGGCATAGGGCCTGGCACACAGTGGGTGTGTGGTACATTTTTGCTGAATGAAGACTGTGTTGGATGAATCACACAGTGACTCATAAATGTACCAAAAACATTTGTACAGGGACTTGGCCTGCCCGGAAACTGCGTAAGAGAAAATGTTCTCACCACATGAAGGATGGATTAAGGCTAGACCTCAATAAAACTTTACCCCAGGTCTGTGTGATAGGAGACTGAGTACTGAGGAGGACCTGCATCTTCTGGAGCTTTCCTGCTGTCTTAAGAGGCAGGGCCAGGCCCATTCACAAGCTGATTTGCCAGTGGTATCTACCTGACTCAATATATGGTCTTTGAGAGTAAAGGACCAGGGTGTAGATAAGACAGATGCCTGTAGGGTTGCTGAGTTTGGGGGTCTGCTGGGGCTCTAGGAGTTAACAAGTTTGGTCCCCTGCCCCCAAAGCCTTGTTCTTTCGGCATCTGAAACAGCTAAAGCATTCTCAGATTCACAAAAAAAAAAAGTCCCCACATGCTGCCTTGGCAGGGGAGGTGTGTTCTGTAGTGTCCTGATTGCCTGCCAGCACAGGGAAAAAGTTCTTCCTTATCTCTAACCTAAATCCCTCTGGCTACAATGTAATCTGCTTCTTTCCTCTAAAGCTGTCCTCACTGGAGTAACAGAGAAGAGCTTATTTCTTGCCATCTCCAGCAGAGTGAAAGGGCTGCGTGTAGGTTTAAATCCATGACCAGGTTTACCCTGGGTTTGGATTAAGCTTGTTTTTGGAGAGCTTCAACCCATCCCATTTTAGTGTGCTTTTGTAATTCAGGGAGGAAAGGCTTCCTGGAGCATGCAAAAGCTTCTTGTAGTGTTCTTAGTCCAAGCAAGGTTTCGCCAAGCCAAGTTTGCCACTAGGTCCATGGGAGATGCTGGTGAGATGGAATTTGGGGCCATTTTCCTCCAGCAAGTAGTAGATAGCTTCCTCCTGTCTAGATCAGGAGAGCTTCTGTAGGCACAGAAAGCATCACATCCTTTCACTCACCCACCTGCCAATCATTCATTTATCCATTATCCATCCATTCAGGGAGAATTAGTTGGAGGGCTATTAAGTACTGAGTCCCTATGTTAGACAGAGGGAGACGATGGCGAATGGAATGTGAGGGGGCGGAGGGGATCAGAGAAGGCTTCTCAAAGTGAGGTTGAAAAGTTGAGAGTCAATGGAACAAAAGGAAGAGCTTCCTAGACTGAGGAACAGAGGCTGCATTGTGGGCGGGGAATTGGAGGGACCGGTTGATCAGTGGCTGGAGAGGTCATCAGGGGTCAGATCACTTAGGGCCTTGATGGTGGCATTAAGGATGATCATTTTTTATCCGAGACCTTGTAGGTTAGTTGTTTTGCCCTTCCCTTCCCTCAGCCTGTAGGAGGCTGTCTGGTGGAATGGAAAGAACACAAGCTTTGGAGTCGGATTCAGGTTCAAAGCTGGATTCCACAGCTGACAAATTTTGCTATCTTAGAGGGCGGGGCGGAGGGGGGTGGAAAATGAGTCCTAAACCCAGACATCTGAGCCTCTCCCTCTGCCACCTCCTCACCTCTCCCCAGCTGTCCAAACCAGAGAAGGTATCAATCCCTGAGCGTTACGTGGAGCTAGATCCTGAAGAGCCACCCAGCCTTGAGGAGCTACAAGCGCGGTACCGCAAAGCCGAGAAGATCCGCAATATCCTCGCCCGGTCAAGGTCAGCCCTCGCTTGCTCAAGTACTGGCAGGTCACCCTGACCCCGGGTGGTGTCTCAACCATGTGGGCCCTGGGCCAGACTCTCTGGGGTACGTGTTTTGCCAGGCCTTCGACTCAGGTAAGCCCTGCTCATTGAAGGGGGCAGGCTGGTACATCACCAGCAGATCAGCAAGGAAGGCTGCCTAGGTCATGTGGAAAGGCCTGAAACACTCATAGAGGCTTCTTGTCCTGGGCTCTCACCCCCAATTCTGTGTCCCAAGTGACTCTAGCAAGTGTAGAGAGTGGAGCCAGGCGTGGCTGTGAAGTGGACACAGTTGGAGATCAGCTCCAGTGATGGTCCTCCCAGCATTTGGGCCTGTGCACCCTCATACAGACCAGTAGATCAGAGCCAGTGACCCCAGCCTTGTCCCTAGGGCACCAGAGGCATTGCCCACTTCCCTGGATGCTAGCCTGGGGCACTTGGAAGCGACTTTCCTGTCCCCTCAGCCTCAATAGCTTCAGAAATTTAACTTTTTTGTAAGCCTGCGTTTCAGAGCTGGCTTAGCCATTTGTGTCTGAATTTAATAAGAGCTTCCAGCTGGAGCCGGTAACTTGAGGTCTGTGGCCTTCCCAAAAGAGGAACAAGGCTGTGATTGTTTGGGTGTTTGGGGAAAATCACGTGTCTTTGTCTAGGGAGAAAGAACCACAGTTTTTGTCTGATCCCCCTCAAAATGTTGCGAACCTCCAGGCCAGGGAGACCCTCCACTCCTGAGGCTGATGCCCAGGGCGGGAGGGCCCATGGTTCGCTTCTGACCCTCCTGCAGCATGTGCAACCTGCAGCCGACCTCAGGCCAGGACCGGAACAGTGTGGCCGACCTGGACTTGCAGCTGCAGGAGCAGGAACGCATCATCAACATCTCCTACGCCCTGGCCTCCGAGGCCTCCCAGCGCAGCAAGCAGGTGGCAGGTAAGGCCATGGCCCAGCCCCCAAGGCCCAGATCCTGCCCCACGGCACCTCAGGGCTTGGGCCCAGCTTGGCCTGTTCCAGAGCCAGTGGAAAATCAGGTGGCAGGGATGGTAGCTGAGGGTCATTGGTGTGTTCCCTTGATCAGAGGGCATCCTATCCCATTTGCACAACAGGACTTGGAAAGGAAGGTGGGGCAGGTCACACAGTGAGGGAGACAAAGGGGGACCAAGCTCAGAAGTGTCAGGGGAAGAGGGTCCCAGGAGGAGCGGTGCTGCTACTCCACTTCTTCCGAGACTGTGGGCTAAGAACAGGTTTTTTCAAGACCCTGAGCCAAGGGGTTAAGGTTTCTGAACTCTTGAAGAAGGGGGCAGGAAAGTGGTTGATACTTGGATTTCTTGCCAGGGCAAGGCAGAAGGGGACCCCTCCAGCCCTCGCTTGGACCCCTGCCTTGGTCCCTAAACTAACGCCTGTGTTCCCCTAGTCAGAGTGTACTGTGCCAGAAAATACAGGACTTGGGAAGTGGGACTTTGCAGGCCAGTTGGAAAAACCATGGCATGAGAGCGTACATGTACGTGTGTGTCTGTGTCTGTGTCTGTGTATGTGTGTCTCTATGTGTGTCTGCGTGTGTGTGTGTGTGTGTGTGTGTGTGTGTGTGTGTATAAAAAGGCTGTTCTTTCTCTCAGCCAGGAAGGAGACTGCAGGCTCCTCCTTCCATCCACAGCTCACCTGCCTGTGTGTGTGTGCCTTGTGTCTTCACAATTCACCTAGTACCATTTCTCCCCCGATGCAGAGGCCACTGTCTGTCTGGGTGGTGTTCCTAGTCAGGCGTGTTCCTTCTGGAGACGGGGAAGCCATAGAGCCTGAAGCGGTGTCATGGCTGCTACCAATTGTCCAACCCTGGCCAAAGGTCTAGAAGTGGCCAAGGGTGGGGCCAGCAGGACCGTCCAATACCTGGCCCTGGGGAGTCTGGTCTGGGGATCAGAGTTTTGCTGTGGCTCCAGAAGGCCATGAGAGTGACTGACAACAAGGGGAGGGGCCATAGTCTTAGTCAAAGCCTGTTCTCTGTCCCCCACAGCCTGATCCTGCACAGAGTTCTTGATGTCCCTGCCATCCTCAGTCCCTTCAAGCACATGCTGAGTGGGCTGAGAGGGGCCCAGTGTGGTGTTTTGGGACTAGGGACACAGGAGATGGCTCATCCAGACCTCTCCTTCTAATGACAGTGGGGCTCATTCTCAGCAGCTTTTGAGCTCCTCCTCATGGGGAGGGTTTGAGCAGGGGTGGCTCCCCCACCATACCATGCCCTCTTCTTGCCTTGCTTGCTCTAACCCTGGGGGTCTCCCATCCTCGGCCTCCTTACTGCCAGCAAATGAGCGCCCCCAGCCCTAAGATGCTGCGGCCAGTTCCCAGGGCCTTTCTCATCCCTACTCAGGGATGATCTTTGCTGCGGCCTTTCCTCACTCTTGATCCCTCTCTCTGTCTCAGAAGCATATCCAGGAACTGCAGGCTGACCCATCTGGTTCCCCACCAGGCCCCATGGATCTGTTCCTCACCCTCAAGCCCAGGCCCTTTGTGGTGGGCAGCAGGGCCCATGCCACCCCAACCTGCCACATGGGGCATCTGGTGCTGCCGCAGATGATGAATCTAACGCACCGCTTAATTCCTGTGTGCCCCATCTAGCACAGCAGCTGGCCCTCCTCCTGCCTAAAAGCCCCCTGTCTTCCAGGACGGTGCCACCTTACCCCCCTTTAACCAACGGACTCCACTACACCTTTGTCTAACACCTTCCAAGTAAGAGCCCCTTGCCTGGCGTGCCTCTGCCTGCTCCCCGCCCCTCCCTAGCGCTCAGCCCTGACCTCCCTGCTGTGCTGAGGTGATTGCAGTGCCACCCTCTGACGCTTCCTTCCAACGGCAAAGCGGCTGCTGGGGGGACTTTCCTGACTGGTAGGCAGGTGGGAAAGTGATGCTTTTTGGGAACTCAGCCCTCAGTGGCTCTACTACAGTAGGGACTGAGCGATGCAACCCCCTGTCTCCCTAAAATCTCTAGAACCGAACTGTGATCCCGACTCCCTTGCTCTCCTCAGTAGGGCAACCTGATGCCCGAGGACCAGTGCAGACCACAATACTAGCCTCAGGGGGGTGGAAAGGAAGGGTTGAATCTTGGCCTCTCAGGGCTTTGGCCAAATAAATTGTAGACCTGTAAGATAGGGAAAAGTCCAGCTCTACAGATGAGGAAACAGGCCTGGTGAGGGGCTGGGGCTCACTCCAGGTCACATAGAATTGGTGTCAGCACAGAGACTGGGACAGCCCTTTTGGTCACTGGGCATGTTAAGAGGGAGAGAAAGGGAAGCCCAGGGCAACGTGAAATTGGCCCTCAGCCAGGCAGAAAGCTCTGGCACCACCCTTACCAAGTCCTCCCCATGTGGGCATCTAGTGATTAGAGGCAGGGCGGGATGAGGAGGGAGCCCTGGCATCTGGTCCAGTCTCAAGTGAGTTCTTGGCCTGGGCCTGTTGCTTCTGAGCCCATCAGTTCACCTGGACAGGGAAAGATCAGACTGGAGGTCTGGGCAGCCCTTTCCCTGACAGTCATTTTGCAGGGCTTTTCCCTCTCCTTCCTTTATATACTTGTGGTTAACATTGTTGAGTGCCTGCTGTGTGCCAGGCATTGTGCCAAGCATCTCTTGCGATCCACACAACAACCCTATAAAGATATTTCCCCCCACCCCGTTTTACAGATGAGAAAACAAAAGCTCAGAGACCTTGAGGGATTTGCGCAAGGAACTACAGCTTGTAAGTGCCGGGGTTTAAAGCCCTTTGATATGAGTTCAGAGCCTTTGTTCCCCATCACCACTCATGAATTCATCTGGGCCACCCCCAGCGACTCTAGTTGTTTGGAGAAAGAAGTGAAAGGAGGGAGAGAGTATTTGTGCTGCAGGGGGTGAGGCATGATGTTTTGGCATGTCAGCAGAGTCAGCAGGTCCCCACCAGCCTGAGCATGGAGGGAAGAGGCCAGGCTCTCAAGATGTGTGCAGTAGAGGCCCCATGATGGAGGAGCCATAGGGAAGTGCTCTAGCTAGGTCCATTGTGAAGGCCATGGTTGAGGGTATGGCTTTCTCCTAGAGACCTGAGCACAGTAACAGTGCTCAGGCACCAAGAGGCAGGAGAGAGGCTCTGTTCTGATCAGCCCTTTATTCTCTTTTTGGAGTGCTGCATTTCCTCTTACCCTGTATGACCACCATGCTTTTAGATTAGAAAAACAAGGCCCACAGAGGCCAAGAGCACTACCCACATTCAGTGAATGAAGAGTGGGGCCAGACTGTACCCTTATCACAGTCTTTGCCCTATCAGGGTAGGGACCCAATTTAGGGGGCAGCATGTGTCTAGCAGTGGAGTTAGGGGTGCAGGGAGGGCAGGGAGAGAGCCCCATGTGTCCTAGGAGCTGAGGGTCCCCCAGCAGCGGCCGCATTTGCTGGAGCCCCCTGCTCTGTTGCTCTGTCTGCCTGCCTAACTCCCATTCCCTGTCATGTGTGTGCAGACATGCCCTCCCTGGATGTGAGCAGGGCTCCTGCCAGCCTCTTACTGTCTCCTGTGCTTTTTGGCAGCCCAGGCAGTGACTGACCCGTGACCCAGTATACAGAGAAGCCTGGAGCCAGGGGCCCAGTGGAACCAGCTTCCTCCAAGGAGATCAACCTTTCTGCCCCCAAGGAAACTGCCTCCGGCTGGGCAGGGAATCTGGCTGGAGGAAGGAGCAGCTTACTGACTGCGGGTGTCCACCACAGGCGAGGCCCTAACACGCATTCACTAGTTTAGCTCAGACTCCTCTCTACATATGAATGGCAAAGGCACTTTTGATACACACTGTAAAATATACTGTATTTTAAAATTGGAATCTCTTTTCTAATGTTCACCTCAAGGGCTGAGTGGCAGGGAGGGTGAGGATGCAGGACTTTGCAGCTGCACCTACAGATTCAGGTACTTTTGGGTGACAGGTGTGGGTGGGGGAAAGGGCGGGGCAAGCAGAGGACAGTTCAACTTCCAATGACCTCAAGAGAAAGTGGGATTTGAAGAGGCATTCCCAGTGGATTCCAGCGTTAGGCTGGTTGGCATGCTGTCTAGGAGAAGAAGGGCCCTTGGCTGCAGAGATCAGCTGTCCCTGACCTGATGACCAGCTCTGTGTGAAACTCCACCAGAATGGCACGTGGAGCCCAAGTCTGCATCTTGGCCCTTGGGTTTGGCTTAGGGGCAACAGTGTGTTCAAAAGCACTGGGGCCCACAACCTGCCCACAGGCTTCCCTCAGCAAAGGGCTCTTATCAGAAAGAAAAAAGCAGTTTGCTTTCATTGTTTTTTTGAGACGGAGTTTTACTGTTGTTGCCCAGGCTGGAATACAATGGTGCTATCTCAGCTCACCGCAACCTCTGCCTCCTGGGTTCAAGGGATTCTCCTGCCTCAGCCTTCCAAATAACTGGGATTATAGGCATGTGCCACCACGCCCAGCTAATTTTGTATTTTTAGTAGAGACAGGGTTTTTCCATGTTGGTCAGGCTGGTCTTGAACTCCTGACCTCAGGTGATCTACCTGCCTCAGCCTCCCAAAGTGCTGGAATTACAGGTATGAGCCACCGCACCCAGCCTGCTTTCATTTTTAACAGTACACAATGAAGTACAGAAAAGTTGAGAGGAAGCAACTTTCATTGTATCATAGCAATAAACTCCACACTGGGTGACATCTACCTAGAAATCCCTTCCCTCCAACCAGGCCATGTTGGGAACTTTCTCTGCCTGCCCTTGGAAAACCCCGGTTGGCTTCCCTAGGACTCAGGTCTGGTGGCAGGAGGGCAGCAGTGTGCCCCCACCATCCCTGATGGCCTGCTGCTGGCAGGGCCATAATGGCAGGACTTGACTTCCAGCCCCACATGAGAAGGGGAGGCTACCAAGCCAGGTGCAGTGTTTGTGGCCCTTTATTTAAGTTGTGTTCTTATATTATTCTGCAAATAGAAAATGATGTTTAAATGGAAAAACAACAACAACAAAAACTTCCATTGGGTGGAGCCACACTTTAAATGAAAATTTCTCTTTGACTATGCTCAGAAAAAAAAAAATAGAATTTTGAATATATTTAGCAGTTGCCGTCTATTTTTAACTAACTCCATATGCTGCCAGTATCGACTTCATGACATTTGCCAAATAAAATTTTATTTTTGCCTTTATAAGATTTTCTTGGAAAAAAATGAATATTTTGCAAGAAAAAGTTAATTTAAAAATGTAATGGTTTGCAAAAAGATGTGATGTACAGATTAAAATATTAACCTGATATGTTTCCTGCTTCTTGCAGACTATAGTCTCTCGTGAGTGGTCTGTGTACGTTTTTTTCCATTTCTTTGGAAAATCCCCACGTCAGCTCTCAGCCCTGCTTGTACTCACCTATGAAAAGTTTCTTCTGATGACAGCTCCTTGACATTTGATTGACTGTGGAGGCCTGGGGTGAGGAAGCCTGTGCTTCTGGGCCCCTGGCTAGGCTTCCACAGCTGGTCAGGGCAACCCCTTACCCCATCCCAGTCAACGAGCCCCCCCACCCCATCCCAGTCAAGGACCCCCCACCCCCACCCTATCCCAGTCAGGGAGCCGGTGGGCTGTGGACTCCCTCATGGGGCTGGTTCGGCAGACAGACTGCAGTCCAATTCAAGACAGCGCAGGGGACGCTGTGGGCCCCCTTCCAACCCACATGCTGCCGGCTCGCTCCAGGGAGACAGCTTAGTGATGGACCATTGCAAACTGGATTTGTGTTTAATTCATTTTGACTTGTGATGTATGCTCAAAACAGAAGGCAAGAAGCCAGTTCCATTGAGGGGTGTGTATATTTCCAAGCTTCTTGTTATAGCAGTTTTTCTCTACTGCCAAGAAGAGCATCCGAGGTTGGTGGTGACTTTCCAACTATTTAAACTGGGGAAAGTAGATTCCAAGGCATTCAGAACAGGGGATACTGCTGCTTTTTTGGCTACTGATCTCTTTGAATTTTAAAATAAAATGTACTTTTTGGTTTTAAGCATTGCTTGGAGATGTCACAATAACAAATGAAGGGGGGTGGGGGTGGTGAGAATGATTTCATAACTGAGTGCAAAGCCCCCCAAAAGCAAAAAAGAAGCCATAAAGGAGATAGTACCCACCCCACAGGGTGGCCATCTGTAGACGTTTTCTCAGTGAAAACCTGCCAGTTTTTTTTTTTTTTTTAAACTGTTGGTCTTTCTGTCTCACACATATAATCCTGTGTAAGTGGGAATGCAGCAACCCCCTACCTTACTGCTCTTTTCAGAGTGTGCTATCAGGGAGGAGGGGTAGCCTGTTCTATAAGAATTGAGGCCCAGATTTCAATCTACAGAGTGCGTGAGTGTGTGACAGGCCCTCAACTCAGAGTCGGCGGAGAGCATGCGTGGTCAAAAAAGGCACGCTACAGCTCCATCCTGCATAACAGGTGATGTGGCCCAGCCTTGAGGGCACTCTTGTTACGTGAGGTAAGATGGGGCCAGGCCATCTGTGACAGTGCTGGCTGGCCAGTGACACTACAGGGTGGGGAGGACTCTGGGAAATGCCATGTGGCCTCGTGATTCCAATTTCCCTTCCTTCCAGGAGACCCCAGGGCCTGAGCAGCCTTTTAAACAACGAGATTGCAGTTGATGAAGGGGGCGTGAACACACTTCTGCATCCATTTGCTGGCGTCCACTCCTCAATTCCGACTTTTAACCACGTCCAGGTTGAGCCCCGGATGTCTAGTTTTAGCGAGAACCAACAATAACATTTTAGGATCTAGTATGAAATGGATGAGGAATAACATCTTCTCCTAATGCCTACCTGAACCTCCTGAACAGCCAAGATTCTCAACACATCCAGAACGTCTTTCAGACAATGACAATCGTATGTAGGGTTTGTGAGTCCACATGGAGTAGATGTGCCCAGACTGGTGGAGATGATGAAAACAAGTGTTTCGTTTTCTCCGTCATTCACTTTCCTCCCAGCCTTGGTGTCTGCTCTGGGAGTGTAAACTTCAGCTAGCCCCTTTCTGCCTTTCTAACCGTTTGGCTGCCTTTAGGTCAGCTGGGTTCTCTAGAATTTTCTTTTTTATTTTAGGTTGCAGGTCATGGCCAGGCAATCATCTATCTGCCCACATTTCATTCCAGGGGCCTGAAGGGGAGGGGGTGGGGTGGAGCAGCCCCTGGCTCAGGCTTGGCCAGACAAAAGCCCATTTTGGGCTTTGGGTATTTCCCACAAGCACAGCATAGGACTCCCTGGCAAGTCCTTTTGTGTTCTCACCAAGGGTGGGAAAGAAGAAGCAAATTATTTGTGTAATCCCCAAATCACATTTCTGAGACATGGCAGACAAATGCTGGGAGCCCTCTGCTTCCGACTCTGCATCAGACGCTGGGGTGTGCAAGGGACTTTGCCCATGTGGGTTGTGCACTGTTATGAAAAGAACAAAGAGATCTGGCTGGGGAAGACATGAAAAATGGCAGCGCCCCTCCCGGACTGGTAAACACGCCATGGCTTTGCCACCTCCACTCAAAAGGCTACCACTTTCATTGCTCTCCTAGCAAAGAAACCTTTCTTCAGAGTGAGTGGCGGGGTACAAAGGCAGAGTACAAAATGTGCGCACATCACAGTCCCTGCAATTCTGTTTGAACAAGTGTATTGATTGGGTCTGACCCTGTTACATTTTTTTCCCTATTATTTGAAAAGGTGCATCTAAGTGTAGTGAATTGAACCGGCAAAGCTGAACTTTCCATGAAAACTTCTCAAGGTATTTCTTTAGTTCAAAGCTTTTGAATTTTAAAGGGCATTTTTAATATGAGTCTGTTGAGTATTCTCTGCCACAGCCCAATAAGGGATGTTAAATGCAGATGAGGTTGGAGCAGGGTGAGGAAGGGAGCGGACCATGCAGGGGAGGCTGCTGACCAGCCCAGGAAGGTCTGGGTTTTGGGGAGAAGGCTTAGCCCCATGCTTTGGAGCAGCTAAAAGGGACCTCTCTTAGCACTAGGGCAACTGCTTAGGGACAGGGAAGAGGCTTCGCCCCTGAACTTGAAGACTTGCACTGGGAGAGCCGGGAAGTACTTGCTGAGGGCTCCTCCAATGGAAGAGGGTTTTGTCCTCAGGTATAAGGGCCTCCTTGCTGCTCAATGTCTCACACTCTGCCCTAGAACTGGAAAGGAACACGGGAGTCAGAGTCTCTTGGCCGAGCTCACAGAGTCAGACAGGAAGCTGCTGTAAGTGTCTGCAGTCACCTACATCCTCCAGCCCCCAGTGGACTTCACTGATCAGTTGCATATACTTTCCCACTGAGCCCTGAGCTACATCTCAATTCTTAACTGATTTCATATCTTTGGATTTGGATGTGTTGCTGGTTGTGTGGGCCATGGCAGCAGTCCCTTTCACCTTCCTGGCCCAGGACTCTGGAACTGTCTACCAAGTCTCACTCTCCCCACATGGAAGGAGGCTTTTTTTGGTGCACTGAGGGTGCACAGCCCTTTTTGACCGAGCTTCTGGCTCATGCTGGTCTGAGTCTCTGTTTGCTGAGATCAGCTCAGCCGTAGAGACCCTAACCCAGGCAGCACTGAAGGAATTAAGAAACAGACACAGATAGAAAGTAAAAGGTAGGTGATCAGATTAGGGCATCAGAGGCCTCCCAGCATTTCCAGCTGAGAGCCCAGAGCAGACTCTGACCCACGTATTTATTCTTTACTTTCAGTGACAAGTTTTACAAGTGGATGTTCTGTGTTCTTTCATTGGTTAAAGGTAAACTAACCAGGCAGCTAGTGTATATTTACTATAGGTTAAAGATAAACTAGAAACATACTTTACAAGGGAACAATTGAGGCAAAGTTATATGTCCTGTGTTCAAAGAACTAATTCATCTGGTGTGATACATGTTCATATTGGTTACTGTTTTATAATGCTTTGAGCAGTTTTTTGCTTTGGGATGCAGTTTTCTGCTTTGGGGACTGACTAGGTTTTCCTTGCTGCCACTCTCAGCAAACAATATGATATATCACACAGGTCAGAATTTGCTCTCAATATCTGTTGCCCCATGAGGCCCCTTGGGCCTGGAAAGCACCTCCTTCCAAGACCCAGAATTTGGGTTCAGAGGCAGCATCATCCCTGGGAGGAGCTGGAAAGTCAAGTCCTGCACCAAGAGAAGCTAGGGTTTGGACATCTCAGTGAAATCCTTTCTCCAGTCTAGAAGACAGAGGCTCAGAGGAGCACAGTAGGGTCAGAATCACAGTAAAAAGCAATTCTCTGGGTCCCCCTCTGCCCACAACTGTGGGAACATCAGACCCCCAGAGTCTTCTTGTTCCGGGTGCCTCCAGAGGTGTTCCATGTATGCTCCGAAATCCATTTTCTTCGCTGTCACTTTTAGGACTTTCTGCTGTTACCTGTGTTTCTTGGGGCCACGCTAGCTGTTAGGCAAAATGAGGTCTCAATGACAGTAGGAACTCATATTTCATGGCCTCTGCCTCCTTCTGTTCACCACAGGTGTCTTCTGCTATTGTCTCACCTGGTCATTCCTGGGACCCCCAGACTTTCCTTACATGCACTCACAACTGTCCTCTCAAGGTTAGGTTCTTCCACTTGCAGCTACTTGATGCCCACTGGCCATAAAGCCACTCATGAAGCTTGGAACAGGCTGGCTCCGCCACTGTGGCTTTGCTGATATCAGCTGGTCTTGCTTACTACTTGGGCCAAAGTGTGGCCTGGGCATCCACAGGTCTCAGTAATGGCCACTCGTGCTTATAATTTAGGGCCTCAAGTATTAACTAATTTAGAGGAAAACTTGCTCACCAAAAGGTGATAATCTCCTTGCAAACTGGAAATTGCTTAGAGCACAAGCCTCACAAGATGCAATGGTTTCCATGACCCTTACCAACAAGAGAACTTCTGCAATGCGGTATCTGCTCCCGTACACCTTGTCTTAGTAGCCAGCCTGTGGGTTTCTCCAGGGCAGCCTTTTGCTCAGTGCCCAGCTTACCACAGATGCTGACTGTTTAGGGAAGGTGAGGTTGGAGTATGCTGGGGGAGCTGCGGTGTCTACCTCTGCCTCCCACTTCTCACTATTCCAGGAGAGCTGGCCCTGGGGCAGCAGTGCAGAAGCCCAGGGAAACTTCTGATAGATGGAACACATGTGAGCATATAATGGATGCACTGAGCTTGGCACCAGGTTGGGGGGGTACAGTGGAGAGGCATGGGAGTACACAGTCATGGTTAATTACACACCAGCATCTCTTCTGCCTCCCAGGAACTTACCCACCACTGATGAATCTAGTCAAT